TTGGTACTCTTCGTAGTCGTAGTGCAAGGAGTGGTGCTCGAGCTGGTACTCTTCGTAGTCGTAGTGCAAGGAGTGGTGCTCGAGCTGGTACTCTTCGTAGTCGTGGTGCAAGGAGTGGTGCTCGAGCTGGTACTCTTCGTAGTCGTGGTGCAAGGAGTAGTGCTGCTAGAACTCTTAGACGTCGTAGTCGTCAAACAAGGGGTGGTCGTGGTCGTAGTGGTCGAGGTACACGGGGTGGTAGTCGAGCTTGTGGTCTTCGAGGTCGTAGTGCTAGACGATGTGGTGCACTTCGTAGTCGTAGTACTGGAAGACGTCGTACAAGGAGTAGAACTCGTCGTAGTCTTGGAAGTAGTAGTAGAAGACGACGTAGTGCATGGAGTAGAGGTCGTGGTAGTCTTCGACGTCGTAGTCGTACAAGGAGTGCTTGTGGTCGTGGTACTAGACGTCGTGGTGCACTTCGTCGTCGTAGTACTAGAAGACGTCGTACAAGGGGTAGTGGTCTTCGACGTGGTAGTGCTAGAGGAAGTCGTGCACGGCGTGGTGGTGGTGGTAGAGCTAGGCGTCGTAGTACACTTGGATGAGGTGGTACTGGACGACGTCGTGCATGGGGTGGACGTGGTAGTGGTGGTAGTCGTACAAGGAGTGGTCGAAGGGGTAGTCGTCGTCGTACAAGGCGTGCTCGTAGAAGTCGACATACTGCAGGAAGTAGTGGTACTCGACCCACGACCCCTGCCGTCCATGTCCTTCTCGTGATCACCTCCCTTGTCGCCATTGGGGAAACGCTTCACGACTCCGGCACTGACCACCGAAGCCAAGAAGACAGGAGCAAGCAAGCTCGAGAAACGCATCGTACCGTTTGCGTATTCAACAACCGGTGATGATCGTCAAGTCTGTAAAGTTGAGCGATAGTCCGAAGAATTGTGCGAACGAATGTAGGAAAAGCGAATGAGGTCGTTGACGAGGACTCCATCACAGGCAGGACGATACTGGAGTTTTATACCGAAGAGGAGCGGGGTCCTGGACCCATGACTGGCGATGGAAATCCTCTATCCTCTCCCGTGTGCTGAGGGTGCAATCTATCCCGGGTTTATGCCGCAACCAATTTCTCGGCTATGGTCCCCTCCTCTTGAGCGTGACGTCGGCCGTTGCTCATGGTTCCTCTTACTTGTAACATACCCCTTGTCGCCGACTGCTTGTCCTTGCTTTCCTTGGTTGGGGCGGGTTCGTTTGAGGTCTCGGGCTACCTCCGCACGTTAAGAATATCGATTGCGGTCTGCGCGTACGCCGGGGCCCCTCTGATATTGTTGCTAAAGATAGAAGCAGACCCTCAGTTAACCCATCGCGAGCCAATTGGAATGGGCAAAGAACGTCACTGAAGTGTTAAGAGTTGTCTCGAGGAGATGGGGCTTTCGGTGTGAGACTGTGGGTGAGCGCCTGCCCGCCGATGGGCTGGTGGGGATGAGTAGCGGCATATGTGTCAGTTGGTACGGCAATGAAGAGATTGCCATCCTCATGCGACCGGCTGACGACGTAACGAGTTGCTGAAGAAATGGGTATCGCATGGTCGACATTCGTTGGGGAAATCCCTCCTCCGGACTCGCCCGTTCGACCGGACCGCACCCATTCATGATCAACAAGCTTCTGTCAACCTGTCTTCCAAACCTTAGCGATCCGGCTATCAACCCTCTTCCTGTAAAACCTTGGCCATTGCGAATGAACTCAGCCGTAATTTTGAATGAGTTGGCAGCTGACGGGTACGTACCGCGTCGGACCCAGGGGCCGCGACGCCATGCGGGGAGTACGACCCAACTTTAAGGGCAATAGGGTGAAACCAGCAAAGTGTCTCGGGTTCGATGAATCTTGATGGGAAAGGACAGCTGGGCGAGACAAGCAAATTCGATGAGACGTACGTGTGATCTTTGAGGAACAGAGGGTCCATGAGTTGATCATCAGCTTCGCGATCGAGCTCGAGGAGACGGGAGAACCCGGAGCTCGGCTAAAATATCAAGGAGTAACAACAGCTCTTGCCAACGTCATCTTGAGTAGGTTACATTGTGCAGTTTTGCGATATATTGCCTGGGTTCATTACGCGAAGAGTCTCAATATGAGGAATCCGCAACCCGGCCCGAGGCCGTCATCTGCATGCATCTGGACGGCAGAGACGCAGGCCCAGGCGGCTCAGAGCACGAATGCAATACATCGGGTATTTATGGGAAGCCGGTGTGTCATACCGATGGAGTTGGCTAGGGCTGTGGCCGGCGGGACGGCTGTAATGGCAGAGCGGGCAAGCGTGTTGGCCAACGGGCGCGGCCCAAGGGCTTGTGATGTGACAGGAGGTAGGAATACGGCCGAAGACCGCTATTTTTAGCTCTGCTAAGCTTTCGGTGACGTGTTCGTGTGGATCTGTCATGACATGAAATTTCCGAGTTTGTGAAAACCCTTCGGACCGGCGCCTGATCGCGACCGGTATTGACGAGCTTCGCATTGCATGAAAATGAGGATGAAGGACGATGGAGGTGACTTCACCCGATGCCGAAAGTGCGATGGTAAACAATCCTATGCTTCGATACGACAGCTGCCTGATGTGATGATTGGGGTTGTTTCAGGGTTGGATGATTCGGGTTTCTCACGCCCTCTCTACCAGTAGAGTTCGTTCCAGACGCACTGCTATGTGAGAAAAGCATATAAACCTGTATCATCAAGGAGACAGCCATCTATCCAAAGGAATTCACCTTCTTTAGAGGTGAATGCGCTTGATGTTTGTTTCGCTACGTCCAATGCTCTGCAGTTCTGCGCATCACGCTACTCCGCATTCCCACCCTGCGCGACAACTTCTTGTTGACCAAAACACCGCTGCTACCTACACCACCCATCCCGACTGTGAATTTCCCTCTTCTTGCTTCTTGAGACTTGTCCTCCACTCTTACTATTTGCCTCCTCACTCCCAATCGAACTAACTCTCAACCTCTGCAGTTTAAGCTTCTACTCCTTTTCAGCATACATCTCGCCATGCCTTCCCACCCTTCCAACATCAACTCCGGTGATTACAGCTCCGGTTTCCTCGTTGCTGTCCCACCCAAGTCTGCTGGTAACAAGTCAAACGGTGCGGTTCAGACTGCTGTTCTCCCCGGTACCTTGACGAGAGGGAACTCAGGAGGACAGGAAAGGAGGAGGAAGGATAGTGCTGTTAGCATTACGAGTGTTCCGACCGATGAGAGTGATGCGAAGAAGGACTTGAAAGACGAGGGTGTCCAGGTTGAGTTGACCGGAAAGGTTGCGGACGCGAAGGAGAAGGTGGGCCGGGTGTATGCGCGTGTTATATGCCCCCATCTTGCTCACAGTTTACTGAATAGTGGGTACGTCTGACTGGCATTGAGGAGGATGAAGAAGCAGTTGGGCCTGCCACCTCCCCCGAATCCACATCCCAATTCAACGCCCGCGACGAGGACCCCGCCTTCGCTCAGCTCAACGCGAAAATCACCCACGCCCGCGAGAAGTGGCTTGACAACCTCCCTACCGCCGAAGACCGCGAACCCAAGGCTCAGGAGCTCGCTGCCGTTCACCCCGGACACGAGGATGAGATGAGGTTGCCCAGGGCTGAGAGTGATTTGCAGCCTGAGGAGGATGAGGAGGAGCCGCGTGCCAGTGCTGTGTTGAACGACAGGATTGCTGAGGCAAGGGAGAGGTTTCTGCAGAAGGAGTTGAACAGGAGGGTCACTTCTCCTTAGAGTGTTTGAGGTAGGCATTCCAACATTGGTGGAATACAGCTGACTGACATGAAGTCAAGGCAGTGATGAATGATCGAAATTTGCGTATTACGCACAAGGAGGCGAGGGAAGAGGTAGGTCGTTCTGCTGTGAACTCTGGGCAAGACTGATGTACCACTACAGGCTGGGTTTCCTTTCACTTTTTTACATGATCCATTGGCGTTTGGTTGGGCATTACTGCTATTATTCTCGGAACAGGGCTGGCTCTATTTCCGGCGTTGGTCCTTATGATACTCGCGGGAAGAGCATTGTGTAGCGTTTACAAGAACCTCTGACTACGAGGACGATCACCTGAACAACAACGTATTATAATGGACAACATAACTCCATTTTGCGGTATACCATGACTAAATGCTATATGCCCTCCTCTCTATTACTTCTCCCGTCCATCTACTCAGTCCACATCCTCACAACACCATCCGCACCAGCAGAAAACAGCCACGGCTGCCTCGTATGCCAAACAACCCCAAGCACTCCCAAACTCTCCCTAACCTCATGCCCCCTCAACACCTTCAACGGCACAATCAACGCATTCTCCAAATCATTATACACCTTCCCATGGAAAACCTGAATCGTTCCATCGTCCGATGCCGACGCAAACAGCGGCAACGAACGATGATAACGCACGGATCGCACGGCTTTCGCGTGGTATTTGAGAGATTTGTATGGCTTGGAAGAAAGTTCGAGATCGAACCACTGCAACCTCCGATCATAAGATCCAACAATCAAGTTCTCACCACCAGGATGCACATCCAAACTCGAAATCCACCTAACACCCGTCTGCAACGTCTTCACCAACTCCTGTCTCTGCAAGTTATACAGCCTGACATACTTTTGTGTCGCGACGAAGAGCATGGGTTTGATGGGGTGGAACTCGACTTTTTGGACGAGGCCTTTGGAGCGCTTGAAGGGGGATTGGGAGGAGTGGGTTGAGAGTTGGTGAATGAGGACAGCGGAGTTGGCAGCTTCGGAGGAGGTGGTGGAGAAGTAATCTCCGCGTCTGTGCCAAGAAACCTGCTTCACGGTCTTCTTGACCGAGATGCTGACGACTACACCTGCGTCCTCCTGTGCGGCTCCGTGAGGCTTGGCCCACGTCGCTGGCTTCTCCTTCACCGAGTCCTTCGGCGGCAACGCAAACCCGGCAGTCGCAGCCTCCCTCGACCTCCTCTCCACCTCACGCGAAAAGTAAACGGGGGGAACACACATAAACACATCCTCACCCGCTGCAACCGCTAGATGCGCGAACTCGCGGTTGGGGGACCACTCAACAACATTCACCGCCTCATCCTTACTCGCCTGGAACCTCCATACCTCGCGGCCGGTGAGGACTTCCCAGACACGTGCTGTACCATCGTCTCCACCCGTAGCGAGCCACAATCCACAGGGTGAGCAAGAGACGCTCCTCACACGCCCCTTGTGTCCAAGATAGAGTGTAGAAGTTCTCGTCGGGAAGGGTCTCAAATCCTGTGGTGACGGAAGCTTAGGGATAAGCGACTCCGGATCAATATTCAACTTATTCCGCCTAACACGCGGTGCCAAATACAAATCCAAACACCTCTCAAACCTCTCTTCCACAAAGTTCTCATACCCAGGCACCAAACGGAGTGCCCCAAACTTCTTGGGAAGGAATTCTTTGCCCTCGTCGCGGCGGTCTTCGGCAGAGAGGGATTCGTAGTGTTCGCGTTCGGCGTCGGTGGGAAGGTATTCGGCGGGGGGATTGTAGGATTCGCCGTGGCCGGGTGGGAGCATTTTGGGGGCGGGGGCGTGCATGATGTGGTCTGGTCGAGGGGTTTCGTCGGCCCAGATGTCGTACAGCGCTGACTTCTTCTCTTCTTTGGTGGGCTTCTTGAGTGTGATTCTGCCCTCGCGGATCGCGCGAACGATCTTTTGGACGCGGGCGAGTTCGTGTTTGGAGCGGACGAAACGGCGTTTTGGGTCTGGTGCCGACGACAAGGGCATGACTTCGAGTTTGGAGGAGAACCACTCGACAGTGGGTTCATACGGATCATACCCCTCCTCGGGCAACAAGCCCCTTTCGATCCGCTGAATGAGCGCCAACTCCTCCTCACTCAACTCCTTATCCATTCCAGTCTCGCGATCGGTCAACCCCGTCCATCCAGGCTTATGCTCCATCGTATCCAACAACGCATCCAACGCACTCTTCGTCAATGGTCGCATGATACGGTGACCATTGATGTCGTATCCGATGTGTGGGAAATCGGCGTATTTGTCGAGAGGGATGTTACCGATGGTATTCTGGACTGAGCCGGTGGAGGAATCCGTTTCGTAGCCGACGTCGAATTCGGGGTAGATCTTTCTGGGTTCACCGTTTGCGCCGAGTTCGTATTCACCGTCGGAGGAGGAGGCGTCGTCTGCCAATGATGGCTCCTCCTCATCGCCTTCGTCTTCTGTGACGCGGCCGAGGCGGCGGGGGTCGACTTCCTCCTCCTCCTCCTCATCTTCATCTTCCCCCTCAGAATCCTCTTCGTACTCGGCATCAGTCTCCTCATCACCCAACTCCGCCTCGAGCCCCGCATCCTCATCCTCGCTCACATCCTCCTCGCTATCAGATCCGGCATCCAACAAACCCTCGACCTGGAACTCCTCCTCTGCCTTCTTGACAGGTTTAGCCGCCTCATCTCTTGATCGCTTTCTCTGTTGAACGGCCATTGCGAAACGTTGACCTTCCTTTTGCTTATCGATTTGGAATTGGACTTTTTTGGAAAACGGTGTGGCTGACCAGGGAGCACCCCGTGTGGCACAGCAGCGACCTCGAGGCCTACGTATATCGAGATGTACCGGTTGCAACAACGACCATGACAAAACAAACGACAATCATCGACACGGACCCAGGCGTTGACGACGTCCTCGCCATCCTCCTCGCCCTCTGCAACCCGCAAGCCATCGACCTCCTCGCGATCACCCTTACCCACGGAAACATCTCACTCCCCCACACTGTCCGAAACACCTGTGCTCTATTCTCCGTTCTCGAGGCTGAACTCAAAGCACGAGGATTGTCTAATGAATGGTGGTTCGAGAAACACTGTGGACGGCGCCCGACGGTCGCGATGGGCGCGCATGGTCCGTTGATCCCTGAGAAGACGTTGGACGCGGCATACTTCCACGGACTTGATGGGTTGGGTGGAATTCACACCATCGCACCGGAATTCACGCCGCCTCCATCGCATATTCATCTATGGAACCCAACGGACCCGGAAGACATCAAGGTTGAACAGGCGGAGAAGGACATGGGCGAAGACTGCGACTTTACGCCCAATCTCTTCACCCCCGTCCCCACCGCAGCCCACACCCACATTCTCGAACTCCTCCGCACCTCTGAACCCGATACAATCACCATCGTTGCAATCGGACCCCTCACCAACATCGCTCTCGCCGCAAAGGCTGACCCGGAGACTTTCTCGAGAGTGAAAGAGGTGGTGGTGATGGGCGGCTGTCTTCGCGTTCCTGGAAATGTGACGCCGGGGGGCGAGTTCAATGTCTTGGCCGACGCGGAGGCGAGTGCCATCGTTTACGCACTTACGAGCAAGCAACCACACACCTGTCTCCCACCCCATCTCCTCCCGCTCTCTCCGCTTCCTAAACCATTGAAGCTAACACTCTTCCCGCTCGATATCACGAATCAACACATGATGCCCTACAAGCGCTTTAAAGAGGAGATTCAAGATAAGCAGGGGCCGTTGGGGAAGTGGGTAAAGGGATTCATGGAGACGACATATAATACCATCAAATCACTCTACACCATCGACGAACTCGCACGCTTCGGGGATCGCTGGGGATTGGAGATGCACGACCCATCCTGTATGTACTACCTCCTGGCTCTTTCCCAAAACCCTCAACTCCCTCAGTGGACCTTCAAGATCGAAGACTGCCGCGTGGAAACAGAAGGCCACTTCACCCGCGGCGTATGCGTAGTTGATGACCGTGGGCGACAGCGGATCGCGGAGGGGATTGAGGATGGTGGGAGTGATTCTGGGAACTGGTTGGGTTGGGAGGCGGGGACGCGGGTCAGAGTGTGTACGGGGACGAGCGGGGAGGAGGGGTTGGTTGGAGCGCTTTTGGGGGGGTGCTTTGGGGGATGGGAGTGGTAGGTCTAGCAGGCGTTTGATATCGATGTGGAATTAGATGTTGGGAGACTGTGAGGATGTACGAACTGCTGAGGCCGGTACTCGGTAGTAGATATACAATAATAAAGTTCATTTGCGATCATCAGTGAATATGACACGAAAAAGAATACCAAAGTCCGGGACCGTGAAAGAATACCCCTAAGAGGCACAATATCAAGAGGGAGCTCGAGTGGGTGTGGGGACTGCTACCATAGGAATTCGACGATGATTATACAAATATCAAGTTCAATACACGGATTAGCGAAGCAGAAACACACACGCGAACAACTGCCCGTGGACTGTTGTGCGCCAATACCGACGCTGTTCGTGCCGGCTGTGGGGTGCAATGGCATAACGGGGGCTTTGTATTTGCTCAGGTCTTGAATTCAGTAACCTTTGTTTGTTTATCGCCTCAGAAGGATCGACGATTCACCCGAGTTTGGTGGAGTCAGAATAAAATATTTTCAAGAGGTGTCCCGCATTAATGTTGCCGGATCTAACAGTAGCTGCTAGAGTCGAAGACTGCGGGTCTAGTACGGGGAATGGGACGAAGCTCTTGCCCGTTGATGGCACGGGTATATCGATATCTTTGTCTGTAGAAATCTGCGCTGTCGCTCAGCTTCGCATCCCTGGGATAGCTACAGTATGTAGAGGCATAGAACCACACATGCGTGATTTGCATTCTTCTCGTTACATTTCAAGTCGACACTTATACGGTTTCCCTAATCCTAGCCAGCTCGTCCTTTGGTTCGAAATTCTGATTAACCATGTGGTATTCGCGGGTATTATACAGGGACTCCGGCAATCACTTGATTAAACAGCGTCATTGCTCCTTGCCCTGTCCCACTACTGGCACCTATTCCTCTTTCCGCGGATCATCGCCATGTATCAACGTCCCAGGGTTGTGTGCCTTTTCATGCCCTACGCCCTTATCAGTGCCTGACCCGATTTAGTGGATGTTCACAGTTACCATGTTGATCCCTCAAGATCACCTTTGGCGGAATCTTTACCCCCCTCTCTTCCGCTTCCCCCTTGGTCGACACAAGATCGATGACTTCGCCAGCGTGCTTGCCGCCGCGGGCTTTGGCAGAGACAGTGTCCCCCATGTCAATCTCTTGGCCGTGTTTGTCGGTGAAGGATGACATGGTCGATGGTTCTTAGTACTGGGGAGGAGTACGATGGGTGAAGATGTTTGGAGGTAGAACTGACTAAGGCTGTGGTGAGCCCGGTCGGACGTGGACGCATTACGTCATATGCATAGCGCACGTCCAACACGCCAATATCGAAATTCCCCATAGTCAGCCTGAGAATCGAAGGAGGGTGGTACTCTCTTTGTTCCTGTCTTTGTTCGAATTTCTCTTCTTGTCTCTGTGGAGCATGATTGGCGCTACGCGCTAGCGAGGCTAGGCCAGAAGCTGTCAAATGCAGAAGGTCGTCAATGCCGTGACTCCAGGATACTGAGGCGCCGGCCGATATTCTTGGACATACTACTGCATCACTTCCTGTATTCGTGAGGGATACTGGCCTTTCAGAGTTTCAACAGGATTTTCCAGTTCGACAACAGCAGTAGCAACAGCATCGCATTTGGCGCATGCTAACGACGGTTGAGAAGACCGGATTCAGGTTCATCGCCGTGCGACGGCACTTGATCAGCCGCAGTGTCACCGACAGAGAGGAAGGAGGAGGCGGAGGGGAGTCCAGAATTCTACGACGCACCCGCACGACGCACCTGCACCAGGCGTTTCACTGGGCTGTTGGCCGCATTTCATCAAAATGAGCGGCGCCGTTTTACCATTCTAGTAGAAGGGCAGCATATAACTAAGAAAATGTGCCGTTGAGGGCTATGACACACTGTAAGGTGCAAATAAAAGTGGCGGTGATAGGGTTAATTACGAAACAAGTTGTCATAACCTACCCCATAATGTATTTATTATGGAATAAAGAATATAGTTCTTCTCTTTAGATACTTTAAAGGAAAAAGTATTATCCAACACTAGCTCTAATGTCTACTTCTTCATCTCCCTCGTCTGTATATGCCTCCCACTACGAAGAACAATTCCCACGTGTGCCACTCCCCTTCTCTCCAAGCCTGATTCAGTCATCGTTACCACACGCTTTTGGAGGATGAGATAACTCCACTGCTCTTTAGTTGTTGCAGTTGACATTTGCCAAGGTCCGTTTCATGGTATCTCCTCCGAACTCCTCCACATTGCCTGTACTGTTAACCTCCTCTCTGGGCTTAAGGTTAGTCCCCATCGAAGTACAATACTCACTTGTCATCAACCCTGGTATGAGTTTCTGGGGTTTTGACTTGTGTTGTGCTGGGTACCGGTGAGGGTGCGTCGTGCGGGTGCGTCGTGTCGTAGATTTCGATACGCCCGAGGCGGAGGAGGGGCAGGGGTAAGGGAAGGCGTAGTTTGGGATAAAAAGTTACATTTGCCTCAATCATAAGCATTATATGCATTTCGGTTACAGAAAGTGTATTAAAGGTCCTATAGCATATACTATCTGAAATCGTCCACCTTGCAAAAGGATCCCTAACGGGCAAGGACTACAAGTAGCTCTATTTCCTTCCTCCGCGTTCCTCCTTACACCAAGACATCACATACTTCGGGCCGACTGACGTGTTACACTTTGAACAAGCTAGGATTCAGAAGCAATGGAAGAAGCATGTGTCCGACAATGCACACAGCAAGCGGGAAGCAGCTATTCAATCCATTAATCACCCATTGGTATGGAGCGCCGAAGGCCAAGTACAGCATCATCGGAATCTGAATCCCGAAAAACAGGTAAGTGTACCTGAAATCCCTGAAGATTTTCGGCAGCTCCGTGAAGAGGTCTGAATTGGTAACCTCCTTGGTAGTGGCACCCCATTGCATATTGTACTCGAAGAGGTGAGACAACAGTGCAGCTGAGATACGGAAGGAGATTCCTGAAAAGAAGAGCGAGAAGAATGGTGTCCACTTGACTGTCTCAACCATGGCTCTGAAGAAGCTCTTATCACCAAGCTTGTATGACACAATTGATCCTGCCAATGGGGACAAGCCGTAGAACACCACGAGGATCGAAATCAAAGTTGAAAATGAGTCAGCGTAGACATGATCGATGAGGTTCGCCGCCCATCCAGTGAAGAAGTAGTTCGCAAACGTAAAAACCCAAACGGCGCCCAGAGCGTAGTAGGTACCGACGTACGAAAGAAGAGTGAACTTGGCGAACAGGGGAATAGACCTGGTGGAGAGAAACTGGCGGAAGAGCGGAGTGAACGGACTTCTCCACAACCATGTACGGATAGGATTGAACATCAGTTCCGAACAGCCGTAAGCATACTTCTCCCATCGAGTGATCTCGTCCGCAACAGTCAGCGAGACACCCTCTCGGAATTCCCCCTTAGTATAGGCAGCAAGACGAATTGAATGACCTGCGCACTGAAGCTTGAGCGCCATTTCAAAATCCTCCGATACGTGCGATTCAGACCACCACCTAGGCTGCCCATCATCAGGATGCGTCCACTCCGCAGCCGTCTGGACGGCCGACCAACGAATGAAAGCGTTGTGACCCACGAAAGGCGCAAGGTCACCGCTAGCACACGAGATACGAATGGATCGGTAGATGTGGCTAGTGAAGTAGGCCATACCACGTTCGAAAAAGTCCCACGACACGTGCATGACACCGGAGGCATGTTGAAGGACGGCAAGATGAGGGGATTCGGCGAATTCGGAGGCGGCGTCAAGTAAGCAGTCGCTAGGAACACGGGTATCGGAATCGATGAGGAGGATCAACTCGCCGAGGCGGATGTTACCTTCCGCCCAGACACGACCGTCTTCTGCGATGACGTTGGACAGAATGCTTCTGTATGCACGCTCCTCGTCAATAGGGGTCCAACCCTCGGGATTACTGCGGTCGATTTGCTTAAGCCTTTCCTCTACCTTGACAGAGACGCCCATCATTGTGTTGAGATTCGATGCCTTCTTGAATCGTCCCGCACGTACATACCCGTCAACTCCATGGCCCGGACGAGCGACCCACCCAATACTGTTCTTCCTATAGTACGCCTTACGAAACTCTTGGGACCGTTCATCAACGAGTTGCATGCGATCATCGCAGACAACGAGATTTACGGTACCGCCTTGTTTCTCATAGCGACGCATGGCAACTTTGACGGAGGTAATTGTGGGCTCAATGACGTCCGCCAATGACTCTTTGTACACAGGACACTGGATGGTAATTTGTGGGAGGACACCGGTCATGCGCTTCGGCGGAATGGCGGAGTATGCAAAAGAGTTCCTGAAAGCCATACCCACGGGGCCGAAGATTTCGTACACGTTCTTTATGACAACGAGGACAAAGAACAGTGACATGACGAAGGTGATCGGAAAGTAGGCGATGTAGGCAAAGCGGTACGTTGAACCATCATAGCGATACTCTTGAAGGAGCTTCTGAAGGATGAGACCGAAAAAGGCACCCCACGCCAGGAAGGCACAGGAGACGAAAAAAGGGACGAGGATGCGGCGCTTGCGAAGGATATTGTCAGGAGCAGATTCACCTTCCATAGACCCAACTTCGACATCGACGACTTCAACACCACCAACGTCTTTCTCGTCGTTCCAGACGATTTGTTGAAGCCCGTCGTTGACCGTCTTTGCCAGGTCCATGCACTTCTCCGGGTCTTGCGACCACACGACGAAAAGCTTCTCTTGAGCGCAATAGGCGACAGGTTGATCAAGGCGAGCCCTGCTTAACTGCGAAAGACATTCGAGGACTTGTAGCCCGTGTTTGTCACCAGCGATATGCTCAGCGAGGAGCCTAACTGGAATACTGTATGCAATCGGGTTGTCGATGACGATAGCCAGCTGCATGTCGAGAGCAGCGACATAGTCCTTCAAATTATCTTCTTGTCCCTCGGCACGGACGATGGCGAAGTCCTCCCCACCCTTCAGACAGATAGCCGAGCTGCGGCCCAAGTTACCGGCATTACCGAAGAAGCCTTGGTACGCACAGTGACGGAACAAGCGACGTGCATGGTCATCGGCAACTTCAGGGTCGTGGTCGAGTTCTTGAGTCTGGATGAGGTTCCCGAGGAAGAGGTTGCGTTTGTACTTGTATTCGGAGGTATCGGAGACGGAGGCGGCAGAAGACTTTTCGCCTTGGTAGGAGACGAGGGGACTAGCCGGAGCTGGTCTGACTGGGCTCGACTTCTTGAGCTTCTTGGCGAGGTTGAGGAAGTTCATGGCGACTGCTTGCTGACGAAGGTAGATAAGGCAGTGGCCAAGTGAACGTCTTTATACGACTCAAGAACGTCCCTCGCAACTCCTAAAATGATGGCAATAAAGCCGGCTCTACGCAACGGCGTTGGGGACAAAAGCCCGATACGTCCAAATGCCAGCTATACTCATCCGACGGCAACTTGTTCTTCCACCCCAAGAAAGCTATGTGGCTCAACGCGGCTCGGTGTCTGATTCAGCCATTCTCTTGCGACTCAGTGGCCGCAGGATGTTGCCTTATCTTGTCAAGAACATAAAATAAGAGTTCTTCCAAGGAGGTACACCAGTAAACGAGACGTTGACAGCGCTCTTGAAGATTGGTATCATGACCCGGCTTCATTTGAAACCATGGAAGATAGGAAGCTTTTAGACATCAACCTGACCATTTTCCGATTGAACCCAACTCACGACACCATCAATCCATTGCTCCAAGTTTTCTTGAGGGCGACAGTGGCTCCAAGCTCCACCCCGTACATTCTCTTTCGCACCACCTTTGCCATACGAGAATGTCTTGTTTGCCGAGCCGTATACAGTGCGGCGCATAGTAAGAGTTTGGCTGAACAACGAAGCAGTCAACGAGGGCAGAAATCCTTAAAAAAAAAGCAAAGCTCCCAGCCTCAGTTCGGCAGAACAGGTAGCTTTCGGCCAGCAGAGTAATGACGAGACCGTCTTGCTAACTGTGACATGCAGCATCTCCTTGAGGTAGCGAACACGGTAAAAGAGGATGGCGCACCTTACGCGTCACTATCGCCAGACCCCAGAAACGCCACCTGTAAACCCCGCCAAACGTATGGGGTAGCGAACGGCATCCCCACATATCCTTCTTGTCGAAATAAGAGTGGGCATACAGGTTCCTTTGACCTCAGACGTTATTACCCTGAAGGTTGCAGCGGGGTTTTGGTGCCTGAATCTGCCCCGGTCACCCGTCTTCAGCAAACAATTTCCGGCTCGGGTAAGCGATGATCAACAGGCCGCAATGAAATCTGCTCTCAGGCCTTCATGAAGATGATGCTCGAGTGTGGGTGTCGTATGAGCCGTGATTTGAGCCGTTACCGCCGGCATTCGCGGGAGACGCCAAGGCTGCTCATTGTATGGGTTACGTAAGGGAATTTGCCAAGTTGAAGCGTTCATTCGCAGACATAAGCGTGTGATCGATCCTTAATACGGAGATTTTACGCCCTCAGTGAAGAGCGGGGGTGTCTCTACGATCCTACAGCTTACTTTCACAGCATAATGGGAAGAAGGGATCATTTGTGCTGTCGAGCAGCATATTCAGCATTTTACGGGTTGCAATTTGTTGCACTCTACTGCCCTCTATTCGGTGTATCAATGTGGCTGGATGCGTTTTCGTGGAACGGCCTGTACCGAACTTTAAGGTGTCCTTTCTTGGCTAGGTACCGAGGTAACAACGGCCTCGGTGAGTGAGAGGATCGTGGATAATCTTTAAGGGTTGTTGAAGAGCCCCGTGGCGATATCTCCCCCAACATTTTTCGCGACCCTCTTGGGCAACCTTCTGGGCCCAGGGTTGCCTATATCAACCGTGTGGCCTTCCTTTCATCCACATCATCCCATCCCCGGTCTTTCCAGTTGACAATGGACCCGCCTTCACCTACCTCACCCAAGGCTTCGGCCACTGGCCAACCCGAGTCCCCAAGCACTCCAGCCAGTCCTGGCAGCCCCGTCTGCTCACGCTCCCCTACCATCCCCGGTACGCCCTTCTCCACTCGTTTCGCCGAGGAAGTATCCTCCGACATCTCTCCTTGCCGTCTTCGCAACCGTATGTTCTCCTCCACCGCCGTCTCCTTAAACGAGGATCATACTACGGAGGAAGAGGCGGGGAAACCGATGTTTGAGCGGCCGTTTGTGTCGACGAGGGTGAGGAAGGAGGAGGCGCCTGATATGACTGAGTGGGACAAGGAGACGAAGAGTAATAACCGTATCATTGAGGCTTTGCCGTGGGCTGGTATTGTCTTGGGTTCTGCGCTCTGTGGGTTTCTTGCTTGGTATGGATGGCAGAGTGTTCCCACGAACACATACAATCTCGTCCTCGATGAGTCGTTCGCCAACGGTATCCAGAACTCGACATGGAACTACGAAATCCAGCTCGGTGGTTTCGGAAACGGCGAGTTCGACATGACCACCAACTCCGCACAAAATGCCTACGTCGACGATAACAATCTACTTCATATCGTCCCGACACTCTCCAGCGACACATACGGCGCCGACGCCATCACGAACGGGTACACCCTCAACCTCACCACCGCCGGTATCTGCACCTCCGACCAAACAGACAAATGCGCCATCACCTCCAACTCCTCTACCGGCACCATTCTCCCGCCAATCCGGTCTGCGCGGTTAACAACAAAAGGCAAACACGGTATCGAATACGGTAAAGTCGAGGTCGTGGCAAAGATTCCAAAGGGGGATTGGATGTGGCCAGCGATATGGATGATGCCGACGAATGACACATATGGACCCTGGCCCGCGAGCGGCGAGATGGATATCATGGAAGCACGCGGGAATACGCCTGGTGTTGGGGTGGAGGGTCGCGACTATGTTTCGAGTACCCTGCAGTGGGGTCCGAGCTCCGCGTACAACCGCTACTGGAAGACGAGTAGTGTGGTGCGGATGCAACACGGCGATTACTCAGATAGATTCCATACATTCGGATTGGAGTGGACCCCGGAGTATGTTTTTGCGTATGTGGATTCGAGGTTGAGGCAAGGAATGAGCGTACGGTTCTCGAAGTCGTTTTATGAGCGTGGACAGTTCCCGCGTTCGGATTGGCAGAATAATACCGTTATTCTTGATCCGTGGACGGGGACTGATGCTTTGCCGGATGCATCGAATGCGACGCCTTTTGATCAGGAGTTTTATCTGATTCTCAACGTGGCTGTTGGTGGTACGAACGGGTATTTTCCGGACACGATGAAGGGTAAGCCGTGGGTTGATGCTACCGCCACTGCGAGGAGGGACTTTTGGAGCGCGAGGGATGAGTGGTATAAGACTTGGCCGGCAGAGGAGGAGAGAGGTATGATTGTGAAGAGTGTGAAGATGTATCAGTTGGTGGAAGCGGGGAAGAGGTATATTTGACTTGGGTATATGGGGTGGTTATCTGATTTATGGTGGTTTCTTTCTAGGCTTCGAGGATTTGACCTGTGATTGCATTAATGGATTTATAACTTTTGATCGGTTGCGCGAGAGACTTACCGTTGATGCTCCGGTTGACCACTGCTGTCTCCAGTTTCTCCAGCATCACATCGTTTGCGTCGCTTTTTGTGAAAACAGCATTGACAGTAATCCCATTCAACCGTGCATTCGAATTCTCCGCCGCCGTCTTGAACGCCCTCACCAGTGCAAGCACGCCCTCACGACTCGCCTCACGGAGAAGATCCGTGGTTTCAGCATTATCAACGAAGCCAACCAGCACCGTGCCCTTATGACCTCGCTCATGGAGAGGTTCCTGCGTACGGAAGTAGTGTAGGGCCAAGTTTATCGTGTACAGCGTGCCGGAGAAACTGTTGTCGAGCACGGCGAGGTCTGGTTTGCGTGGTTCATAGGAGATGGGTGGGGAGAGGAAAGATTGTCCGCTGTTTGATGCATTCGAGAAAGCAAGGACTATGCAGGATGTTAGCGATGACGAGAGGAGAAGAGTAGGGTTAGTGTTACACACCGATGTCCACCCGTCCGAACAGCGTCTTTACGTTGTCGAAGAGTTCTGCTTGCTCCTCCCAGGACGTCAAGTTACAATCTGAGCCGAGGATTGAGACGCCTGGAGTTGCTGCGGTGATCTTCTTTACCGCTTCTGCGACGGCTGAATTGTCTTGATCCGCGACGACGAGGATGGCACTGCAGCATGGGAGTCAGCCAGATGGATCCGGAGAATGAGGGAGGAGTGTACCCTTGTTTTGCCAGGTGATGGGCGGCTGTCAAACCGATTCCGGACGAAGCACCTGCGACGAAGATTAGGAGGCCGCCTGCGATCCTTGTGGAGAGAGCTCACCGGTGATTACCGTCACCAGACCATGGACATCAACATGATCAGAGAGCATTGTGTTAAGAGGACTCGAGGTCGGGGAACGAGCGTTGTCAACGTTACCTTGGTCCCGCGGCACCCCCGCGGCTAATCCATTTCGGGATGCCCGTGCTTCGGTTGTGCCGCACTGCAGTAAGGAAACTCTATTCGACGAGGGCGGGGATCAAGAAGGCCTACGACGAATTGGCCGGCTGCCAAACGACTCAATTGATGCGTATCTCTTCACGTGTAGCAATTGTTCATGCAGACGTTCTCTCCGGTCCTCCGTCACACATGTTCCCTCAGACCACCATCCAAATTCCGAGGCTGAGCCACAACCTTATTCCTATCGCTTCCGCTCGATCTCCCTCCATCCGCTACCCAGCCGAAGCCTCGTGAAAGGCCTCGGTTCAAGGGAACCTTACTCGCTCCAGCGTCGCCTCGCCAAGCGGTTAACCTTCACGCGCGCGAAAGCCGAACTGGAATTCCCCGCGGGGAAAGCTGCACTGGAAGTGTCTCGGACGAAACGCTCGAAGAAAAGCACAAAAGGTCATGCTGTTATGGATGAACCCCGCTCCGGCCGGTGTGCGTGTTCGAGAATGCACATAGCTCTCTCCCGCAATATAAGATCGGGGCTGCTCCTCCATTGCAATTGGTGCAAGCAAGGACAATCAGGATCATGGCAGATATCGAAAAGATTCACGTACAACATCTTGAGGGTGTGGTCGATGCTGAGAGTAGCCGCGATGGAGGCTCGTTCGTCGCGTTGGATCCGGCGACGGAGCGGGCGTTGGTGAGGAAGATTGATATCAGGTTGATTCCGTATCTGTCGTTTCTTTACCTTCTCTCCTTCCTCGACCGTGCCAACATTGGAAACGCAAAGGTGAGCATTCTTTCCTCCCGTTTGACCGATTGTTGTCGTTGCTGACTGGAGGATAGATCGAAGGACTCGCGGTTGATTTGAAGATGAGCGACCAGCAATATCTCTGGACTTTGACGATCTTTTTCTTTCCTTATGCATTGTTCGAGGTTCCCTCCAACATTCTTCTCAAGAGACTTCGTCCGTCACTCTGGATTCCGGGGATTATCCTTGCTTGGGGTACCTGTATGACGCTCATGGGATTGGTTCACAACTTTCAGGGATTGATGATTGCGAGGTTCTTTTTGGGGTTGGCGGAAGCGGGATTGTTCCCGGGGTGTATGTTTTACTTGAGGTTTGTCACGTTCCTCTCGTCTTCCTGGGCGTCGAGACTGATGATATGATAGTTGCTGGTACCGAAAACGCGAATTCGGTATTCGTGCCGCCATTTTCTTCAGTGCGGCGACGATGAGTGGTGCATTCGGTGGATTGTTGGCCGCTGGTATCGCCAAACTCGACGGCACCGCCGGAAAGCCCGGCTGGGCCTGGATCTTCATCCTCGAAGGTACATCCCCCCTCTCTCCCTCCTCCTCCTCTCTCATTCACCATGCTGACGTTCTGCGTAGGTCTCTTCACCGTAGCAGCCGGCGTCGTCTCCTTCTTCATCGTCCCCGACTTCCCCGACACCGCAACCTTCCTCACCGAAACCGAGCGCCAACAAACCATCGCCCGCCTCCAATCCGACGCACAGTTGTCAGCCGGAACCCAGGAGCACTTTAGGTTCCGGACGTTTTGGACGGCTGTCACGGATTGGAAGGCAGGGTTTGGGATGTTGATTTATATGGGGGTTTGTGGGCCGTTGTATGCGTTTTCGTTGTTTTTGCCGAGTATTATTAAGGAGTTGGGGTTTACGAGTACGAAGGCGCAGTTGTTGTCGGTTCGTTCTTCCCCCTCTTCCTCTCATCTTCGAGCAGCATGAGCTAACCAGAGCAAAATTGTAGGTCCCTCCATACTGTCTCGGCTGTATCGTCACCCTTTGTGTTGGATTCCTCGCAGACCGGAGCGGTCGTCGCGGTATCTTCAACGTCGGCTGTTCCGCCCTCGCGATTGTCGGATACACGATGAACGTTATCCCCGCCTCCGGTCCCTACGTCCGCTACGGCGGTACCTTCCTCGCGGCAGCGGGTGTCTACCCATGTATCGCCAATACAATCTCCTGGATCTCGAACAACGTCGAAGGCACCTACCGTCGCGGAATCATCATGGCCCTCTCCATCTCCTGGGGAAACATCAACGGCGCCGTCTCCTCAAACATCTACAGAGCGAGAGATGCGCCGCATTATACACTTGGGCATGCGGTTGTTTTGGGGTATCTGTGTTGTTGCTTTTTCGGGAGTATGGCGTTTATGGCGTTGTTGAAGAAGGAGAATGAGAGGAGGGATAGGGGGGAGAGGGATTATTTGGCGAATGTGGGGGAGGCGGAGAGGGTTGAGTTGGGGGATAGGCATCCGTCGTTTAGGTATACTTTGTAAGCTCAGCTGCTGGTCGGTATGGTATCGGTATTAGGTATTTTTGGGGTGTTGGTGTACGATATACAAATGAGGAAATTTCACATTATGGTCAATTTCGAGAACTCCCAGCTGGTCTCTATTAGAACACCCTTGACCTCCGTTCTCCCTCTCTCAAAATCGACAACCTTAAGCTTCAAGATAACCATGGCCAAGAACAAGCCCAACATCAACAAGCAGTCCAAGACTGGTCCCAACAAGCGACTACCGAACAAACCGCCTCGGTTCGCCCAAAACATTTCCTATCTATCTATCTGTTCAAGACGAGATACCGCTCCTGCTCGTTCTCAGGGTGACTTTTTCTTCTGACACGTCGAGTCGACATCCACATCGCGGGTAACATAACCCGTGGGAACGGCAATGACTTCCTCATACTCCGCGGCCGTAGCAGCGATACACACCCCTCGGATGCATATGTCATGAAAGGATGCTGTGGAACGAGGAAGGATTCGAAACGTTCGACGGATCGGTCGAGTCGAGACCCTTGATTGAGTCACGCAATTGCCAAGCTTAAAGCCTTTCAACTTGCAAAACGGGTCATCTGACACGTCTCGGATACCGCCAATTGGGGCGCGTCATCACACTTGCAACCTCCTCTTTCGAGCACTCCTAAGGCTTATCCTTTTTTTTTTTACTCGTCGGCATCATGTCGGCAGATGCACCTCAAAATCTGCCCCGGTCCTCCCCCATCTGCCCCACTCACCAATGTGCGGCATCCTCTTCCGCCTCTACCGTCATGACAACAACAAATCGGAATCCGTAGATCAGCTTTACCCCCTCGTCAAAGCCCGCGGACCCGATGTCTTCGCTATACATACCGTACAGCACGGTGAATGGGTGTTGGAGTTCACGTCGAGCGTACTACATCTGAGAGGAAGCGATGGACCGACAGCGCAGCCGTTGAGGAGTGGGAGTGGGGATGTGCTGTGTTGGAATGGAGAAGCTTACCGTGGCCTCCCTACTGCTGACCTCGCTGAGCCAGCCACAAACGACGGTGCGCTTCTCCTCTCGACGCTGAGCGCCCACGAGAAAGATGTCGCGGGGGTCATGGGTGCAGTGAGGGGTGAGTGGGCGATGGTCTATTACGAGAAAGAGGCGGGTAGAGTGTGGATCGGACGCGATTGTCTGGGAAGGCGATCGTTATTGGTGAGGAGGGAAGGTGCGGGTGGGTTTGCGCTGAGTAGTGTTAGTGATGGAGGAAGGGAGTGGGAGGAGGTGAAGGCTGATGGGTTGTATTGCATCGACCTTGACGATCTTCCGGCTTCTGGTGATGTATGTTGTTGACCTTTTAGGCCGTGATGAATTGTGACGCTGACTCACGATCATAGATTCCTCTGACTCGCATACCCTTCCTCCCCCAACAACCCCAAACACCCTCCTCCCCTACCGCGAGCATGACCCTTCCCTACCCACCCCTCAACGCAACCCCCCCATCCCCCAACGACGACGTCGATGCCGACGAGCTCGATAAGCACACCTCTGCCCTCCACGAAGCCCTCATCCGCTCACTCCAGACCCGAACACAGACAATCCCGGCCCTGAGCCTTCACCCCGATTCCTCCTCCTCTTCCGGTGGCCCTTCGGATCACCCACGGATAGCCGTCCTGTTCTCCGGGGGCCTGGATTGTGCAGTCCTAGCACGACTCTTGGACAATGTCCTGCCACAGGGAGAGCCCGTTGATCTGGTCAACGTCGCGTTCGAGAATCCGCGGAGTATCCAGAACGCCAAAAATGAAAAACTCGGCGCCGCGAAACGGGCAGCGAAACTCAAACTCAAAATGAACGGCACTGTCGAATCGTCGTTGGAGAAGAAGGTGGAGGAGAAGGTGGAGGAGAAGGTGGAGGTGGAGGATGAGGATGAGGATTGGTATGCCCACTGTCCGGATCGCATAACTGGTCTCCAAGGGTGGCGGGAATTACTCTCTGTCACAGACTACAGGCGACCTTACCGCTTCGTCGAAGTCAATGTCCCGTACGCTGAGGCTATGTCGCACAAACCACGAATCGTGGATCTCATATGGCCGAACGACACGGTAATGGACGTATCGATCGGGATGGCGTTCTACTTCGCTGCCCGTGCCCATGGTCGCCTAAGGGTGTCGAATACGGATGGGATGGAGGTGGTACAGGAAGAAGAGTATGACTCCCAAGCCCGAGTTTTCCTGAGTGGGTTGGGCGCGGATGAGTTATTTGGCGGCTACTCGCGACATGGGAACGCGTATCGCACCAATGGATGGGCAGGGTTAGTTGAGGAGCTCAAGTTGGATTTAGCACGGTTACCGACGCGGAATTTGGGGAGGGATGATAGAGTCATCGCTCATTGGTCACGGGAGGCACGGTATCCCTTCCTCGACGAGGAGGTGGTTTCGTTGGCGTGTAGCTTGCCAGCGCATATCAAGCTCTGTCCCCCACCGCCTGCAGCTGGAAAAGAGACGGATGGGAGTGGGGAGGTGGTGGCAGGGGAGAAAGAGTTGTTGAGGAGGGTCGCGAGGAGGGTGGGGTTGGTGAAGAGTGGGGGGGAGAAGAAGAGGGCTGTACAGTTTGGGAGTAGGACTGCGAGGATGGAGGTTGAGGAGGTTAAGGGGAGGGGGATGGGAGCGGTTAAGGTTAGATAGCTGGTTATATAGATGGGGTGGTGGCATAAAGCTGTAGGAGTGAGTGAGCTCGTTGAGGGACCTAGCGATGGGCGGTCTATTACGTCCATGAGACTCGCAAGAGAAAGAAAAGCGCAAATCATCCTCATTCAAAGCAACCAACTCTTCTCCGTTACATCATGGCTGTATCCGCTGCCCAACCGCGCATCCAGGCTGCAGCTACCCGATAACCCGCAACACCCTCTCCAATATCACCGCGAACCTCCAAAACGACCAGCATACATCCCCAATGGCAGCTGCTGCACCACGGCATGGAGATCTAATCACATTCGACGACGATGACGACGCAGAAGCAGAAGCAGAAGTCGTGGACGAGAAAGCAGCAGTAGCGGCTGGTGTTCATGGTGACCATATCGATCCAACGTCGCCGAAGGTCGCAGTGGCAGAAGCGTATGTCATTGGTTATCAATCTTGATTTGATGCTGATGGACCATAGGACGTTGGCGCACATGAGCATCGAAACGAGCACAGAAACACCCTTCCCGCAGATAAGCGCCATGAAACCGACGATTAAGCTCGAGCGGTTGGCGCCGTCGCCAAGTCCGGGTGGTACGCCAAACGAAGGCGAGGACAGTTCGGCGACACAGGAGATTACGAACATGTTGGATTCGCTGGATACGCTCGATATTGCCGGCGCGAAAGGAAAGACACACAAAGAACACGGAGAGCTGGCTATGGAACCGCCGGCACCTGACGCGCGGAAACCGACACCGGAACCGGAAGTGGGGTTTGATTTTGGGAGGTTTTTGGAGATGTTGCGACATCGTTCCGCCGATCCCGTTGCTCGATACATGAAATCGTACGTCACTCCTCCTCTCGCCTCTGCTCCTCCTCCAGGAAAATGTGACTGATGAGGTGTCCGACAGTTTTTTGTCCGAGTTCGCGAAAAAGCAATGGCGAGTCGAGGAGCAGGTGAGGATTATTCAAGAATTCCTCGATTTCATACACGAGAAGATGAGTGCGCCAGGGACACCCTGGGCCAACGTCTCAGACGCGGAGTTCGCCAACGCAAGAGAAGGAATGGAGAAGCTCGTGATGAACCGGCTGTACGCTCTGACGTTCTCGCCGCTGGTGATCGAGAAGCGGAAGAAAGAGCAAGGGAGGGAAAAGGGGGTGAGAGAGACAGGGCATGAAGAGGATGTGGAAAGGGATGAGCAATTGGAGATGAAGATGAGGGTGTATGCGTGGGTGAGGGAGGAACATTTGGATATCCCGTGTACACCGATGAACGAGACGTTCCTTAAGTTGGCTGGTGAAGGTACGTTTCCCCCCCCTCCTCCCCCTCCTCTTCTCGAGCTAATCGTGCGAGGACAACAGAGCTGTGCAAGATCAACTCATACAGAGCACCGAGGGATAAATTGATCTGTATCCTTAACTGCTCAAAAGTCATCTTCGGCCTCCTCCGCCACGCCTCCATCACCGAATCCGCAGACTCCTTCCTCCCATTTCTCATCCTCGTCATCCTACGCTCGCGTCCCGCGCACCTTATCTCGAACCTGATGTTTGTGCAAAGATTTAGGGGGGAGGGTGGGTTAGGAGGGGAGGGTGGTTATTACTTGAGCAGTTTGGGGGGAGCAGTTGGGTTTTTGGAGGGGATTGGGAGGGGGGATTTAACGGTGAGCGATGAAGAATTTGAGCGGTAAGTCATTGGTACATAAGCAGAGGCATTGACTGATGGATTGGTGGATAGGAATGTTGAGAATGCGATTTCGACGATAGCGGAAGAGGATGCACACCTCGCGGCTACTGCTTCACCATCAGAACCCTCGACCCCACCTCCAGTCACTACACCACCACCAGACGAAACCGAAACTGAAATCGAAGCCCCGGTAGTAGTGACCACACCCCGGCCATTACTTGCACCAACACGCGAGATATTATCAAAGTCCTCTAACGCGATCAAAACGATATCAAAACCTTTGAGTGGGATTGGGAGCAGGTTTTGGAGTACGGCGGCGGCGGTGAGTGACAGTGTGCGCGGGGGCGGACAAGTTACGGAAGATGAAGGGGAGGTGGTGGAGGATAAGGTGAGAGGAGGGACGGGGTTGGATGAGGGGGAGGAGAGGGGGGCGAGGGTTGGCAGACGGGGGTCAAGGCCAGGAGAGGATGAGGGTGAGGGTGGGGATGGACCGCCATTACCGGCTCGACGGTCGACACTTTCGACTCAAGTGACGCCGTTCACCGGCCTACCACCCGACCTCACCGCCGAATCCGCCTCAATGGAGACTTACGAAGCCGAACGTCGGGCTCGGGAGGAACATGCGGAGACAGTTGAGACGTTAGCTCAGATGTTTCCGGGTGTGGAGAGGGAGGTTGTCGAGGTTGTTGTTATTGAGAAGGCTGGGAGGGTTGGAAGTTGTGTTGATGTGTTGTTGGAGATGGGGGGATGAATACCTAGTTAAGCATATAGCATTGCGTATTGTTTTTCTCGAGTAGGTTCTTTCATGGTTGCCGGATTGGGTAGGTCGACGTTACACCCTGTGCCGCCTACGGACGTCGTGCTGCCGCCAAAACCGCGCACGGTCCAAGTGATCGCCAACCGAAACTTCCCCAGTTACACGAAATAAAGACCCCCACCACTGCAGCCATCCGGACAAATCCCTCGCTTTCAAACGCTTAGGCTTTAGATGGATCAGGATAAGCAATGGCTTTACGTCTCTCTTCTGCGCTATTTACCCTCCTTCTCATCCTTGCTGCTGTCTACTTGAAGAACGTCGTGTTGCACCTCACCACCAATCCTCTTTGGCAACAACATCCAGGAAAAGCGATGCATCCAAAGTTTCTGGCTAGTGTTTTGGTGGCGTCGGCGGCGGGAAGTGCGAGTGCGAGTGCGAGTGTTAATGCTGTGGAGGTTGGGAATGAGAGTGTGTTGAATGCGAATTTGACGAGGGATGTTGTGCCTATTCCTGTTCATAGGTGAGTCGAAGTCAGAGGGTGTGATTTGATGGGGTGTATGCTAATTGATGGGTGTGTAGTCACAACGACTACTGGCGCACGACGCCCCTCCTCTCCGCTCTCTCCTACGGCTTGACCTCCGTCGAAGCCGATGTCTGGCTCATTAACGGCACTCTCTTCGTCGGGCACGATCGTGGTGCATTGGATGTCGAGAAGACCTTCGCGAACTTGTATATCGACCCGCTCGTCCAGTTGTTGGAGAATATCAACCAGAATGCTGGAGAGTTTGAGGCGACGGGGTGGAATGGCGTTTTCTCGATGGATAACACTCGGTCGTTACAGCTTCTCGTTGATTTAAAGAGTATGTCTGCGAAGCTCGCATGCTAAAGTACATGCTGACTTCTCAAACATAGCTGATGGTCCGGAGACTTGGCCTTACGTCCTTCAAGCGCTTGAGCCTTTGCGTGAGCGCGGATGGTTGACGAACTACAACGGTTCTGCCGTCACGAATGGCGCTGTTACCGTCGTTGGAACAGGCAACACCCCCCTTCAGCAAGTCATCGCTCAGAACAGCACTCGCGACGCTTTCTTCGATGCCCCTCTTGCGTCCCTGAATGCGACGTTCACACCCGCGGTTTCACCGTTGGCAAGTACGAACTGGGCCAAGGCAGTAGGCTGGAACGGAATTCGCGATATCTCCCAGAAACAGCGCCACGCTATTCGCGATCAAGTCGCGACAGCCCACGCAGCCGGCTTGAAGGTCAGGTATTGGGGATACCCCAACTGGCCCGTCTGGGCACGCGATAACATCTGGAAGGTATTGGTCGAGGAGGGTGTCGATTGGTTGAATGTCGACGATTTGAGTGGTATCGCTGAGTTCTGAATCCAGAAGGAAAGGGTGGTTACGACGTGGGCGGGAGCGTGGGGGTGGGAGTGGGTACTGAGGTGGGTTTTGGGGTGGGTGGTGTGGGTTGGTGATGTATGTTTAGGACGGGTGTGAGCTTTTTTGCATGACTATTTGACTTACTGGTATGATTAGAGTGGTAGAAAAGACTATTGGTATGGTGATTTTTGTTTCGTGAGTGTTCCATAAGGTCACATTGGCAGCGCTCTACGTTTTCCGGGATCAAGGGAGTGGGATGCCCATGAACTTTTGCTCGCCGGTAGGGTTAGGCTTAGGGTTGCTACGGAGATCAAACGAATTTGGTCGTCACTTGCGAACAAGAGACGCGTCTTTTAACACTTTCGGGCACTTCAAGCTGTTTTGTTCTCTATCCAACATACCCGGAGGGTCTCGCACGCCAAGGCCGGTTTTCCACAAACGCAACCGCAGCCCCAAATAGAAAACAATCTTCTCCTGCAACCGTTGCAGTAGCCAGTTAAGGCGTTCACATTAGCAATGGATCCGGTTAAAGCAGCTTCATAGCGGAGGGGATAGCCGATCCGGTTTTACTTTAGGACTTTTAGGTGTTGTGGTTCGAAAGAGGAAGGTCGAGCAGGATGGGTTTGACGTCGACGTCGTTGAATGAGACTCACCTCCAGGAGCGTCCTGTTGATGGTGGTCGTCCAACCTGACGATGCTCTCTTGAATCTTCGGCGCCGGCGGAGAGGGCAAACAGACCAGCTACCGCACTTTCGGCCACGCGCGAGCTCAGTCACGACATCGACGTACGATCGCACTCGAATCGCGACAACACAGCTGTCTGTCTATTCGCAAGCACTAGGCGATACCTTCCTCCGGCCGCCTGAACCATCTGTCCAATGACATTCCATAGCCATACCCTCCTCGCTTGATTCTGCCTGCTCGTCCGAGACAGCCCACCCCCCGTCCGTGCACCAACCGCCGCCTAGTCCAAGAGGAGTAATCTCGAGTAGCAAGGCTACATGTCACTACAACGCACTAAATGGGCGGGCATGCCCTCCTTCGCAACCAACTTTCTCGCAAGGAAAGAGCGGAGAGCATACGCGTACAAGCCTATCGACGTTGAGATGACGAGTTCGGAGAGGACGCAGATTCCTGTTCAGCTTCATGAGATTGGGAGGGAGGAGGGCATTATGAGCGCGAATTTTGATATTGCTGGTGGATCAGTGCCGGTTTCTAAGGAGGGTGATCGTGACAAGGACGTGCATGGGGAGTTTGTGCGGAGTGCCAGTACGGTGGGGTCAGGATCAGTGGATGAACTCGAAGATGGGGAGGTCGAACCCACGGAAGAAGAGCTCAGTACACTGCGTCGAGTCTCCGATAACATTCCGTTGTCGGCGTGGTTCGTTGTCGTCGTCGAGCTGTGCGAGCGGTTCGCCTACTACGGCCTGAGCGGCCCCTTCCAGGTAGAGCTATTCTTACCCAGAGCAACATCCATGTGTGCTGATAAGAAGCTTTACAGAACTACATCCAGTTTCCTTACAACAACGGCGACCTCAAACAACCGGGTGCCATCGGTCTTGGCCAACAAGGCGCTACGGCCCTCTCCCAGTTCTTCCAGTTCTGGTGTTACGTGACCCCTATCCTCGGTGCCATCGTCGCGGACCAGTATATTGGAAAGTACAAGACCATCTCGCTCTTCTGTGCGTTTTACATGGTCGGACTGCTCGTTCTTGTCTGTACGTCAGTTCCGTCGGCTATCAGAGCAGGCTCGAGTCTGGGTGGCATCATCACGGCGATGATCGTAATTGGTCTGGGAACAGGTGGAATCAAGAGCAATGTCAGTCCGATGGTTGCGGAGCAGTATCGGCGTACCCGCAGAGTGGTCAAGACTCTGAAGAATGGTGAGAGGGTCATCGTCGATCCAGCCATCACGATCCAGAGGATTTTCATGGTCTTCTATTGGTGTATCAATGTTGGGTCGTTGAGTGCGATCGCGACGACGGAGCTAGAACATCACAAGGGATTTTGGCAGGCGTATTTGTTGCCGCTTTGCGTGTTCTTTATCGCCATCCTATTCTTGGTCATTGGAAAGCCGTATTACGTGACTCGACCACCGACTGGATCTGTCGTATTGAGAGCCTTCCAAGCTGGATGGATCGCGATCTGCAATGGAGGCAAGCTCGAGGCAGCGAAACCTTCTGTTCCGGCCGGACGCGGATTCGATAAGTGGAAGCAACTCTGGGATGACCAATTTATCGACGAACTCAAGCGCGCTCTTGTCGCCTGCCGAATCTTCATTGCGTATCCATTCTACTGGGTATGCTATGGTCAGATGACGAACAATCTCGTCTCTCAAGCTGCTACGATGCAAACCAACGGCGTTCCCAACGACTTGCTCCAGAACTTTGACCCTATCGCACTGATCATCTTCATCCCGATCTGCGATCAGTTCTTGTATCCGTTCTTGCGCAAGGTTGGGATCCCGTTCAAGCCCATCTCCAGAATCACGGTTGGTTTCTTCATGGCTGCACTGGCGATGGCATACGCCGCAATCATCCAACATGTCATCTACTCTTCCGGTCCAAACTACGAGTACCCTTCCGGCGCTTCCGTCCCAAACAACGTCAACGTATGGCTGCAGATCCCGGCATATGTCCTCATCGCCTTCTCCGAGATCTTCGCCTCAATCACTGGTCTCGAGTACGCCTTCACCAAAGCTCCGCCCTCGATGAAATCGTTCATCATGTCCATGTTTCTCCTCACCAACGCATTCGGTGCAGCAATCAACATCGGGTTATCGACAGTTGCCGTGGATCCGAAGTTGGTGTGGATGTATACGGGCATTTCGGCTGCGTGCGCAATCGCAGGTGCGGTGTTTTGGCTTTCCTTCAGGCACTATAACAAGATCGAAGATGAGATGAATGCGTTGGAGGGGAAGAGGGAGGGTGCTGTTGCTGTGGGCAAGGTCGAGCAGGTGCATCCTAGTACTGGGGCGGTGATGGACGTTGAGAGTGATAAGGTATAAATGAGATGAGGTGCTCGGCTTCTACATGTACACAACATCTACTATGATTTAACAGGTCCTGAAATCAACCGTGTCGCCTATTGCTGCAACGAAACGTGAATCATCTGACTGGCATGCACAAGGAAATCATTGTCACACACTTTTTATTGAGCTTCATCGTGGTTACAAATGACATGGTAAGTATCATCCTTGCTATTGACAATCTCGTTTCTTTCGCTTTCTCACGGTCGATGTAAGGGCGCCTTGTCCGGCACGCAATAAAAACCACCATGGCACGGTAACAATCCACGGGTTTGGTATGGACTTACGAATCTTCAAGGATTAGAGTAGAAATAGGTTTGCTAGAAACAACTCTGTATACTCTAACATTTCCTCTCTTCCCTGTGAAGCCGTACGACTATACAAACCTGCTCATTGCGAGTGATGTCTAGCTATAGCAGCTGCTGTGGCACAAATCATCGGTGGCACTCGCGGCCGGATCCGGAGTATCACCTCGCCATCTATTTCGAAAGCAGAAGGTTCATACTTATTCTCCGGATTGACAAGTCAAGAAAGCTTACTCGCAAACTTTGAACGTTTCTCGGTCCTTTTCGCAACTTCACGCGGTCGCAACGTTAACCTGCAACGTGAGAACGCGCACTTCGCCGCCGTGGTACACTGTACGTCAAGAATCGAGATCTGGTTATTATGATTCCCCGATGTGATGTTGCTTAAAGGAGCGAAGAATAGCAGGAACAGCTGTTAGCCATGCGGAGCGGATGTCGCACGTTCCCGGGCACGGCCTGAGCTTGTGCACGTACACATCATCAGAAACTCAGGCGGGACTCGAGGAAGCACAAAAAGCCGAGCAAGTTGTGAGCATCTGCATCAGTGCGAACGAACGTTTTTCAACAACATGTATATTCAGCAGCGAACTAGTCACACTCACAATTCCAAGGACAATCACCATCACGACCACAAGATAAGAGGAAGCACATCAGTTCACGGAAGGAATCACGAGTGACACCGGTTCAACAGCACAGGAAGTCGTGTTCATGTCACCCTCTCCGAAGAGACAGCAACATTCCCCACGAAGAAGGGAAGAGAAGAAGCAGAGCATGGCTCGTCGAATGACAAGACGCAGAGGCTCTGAGTTGTTTTGGAGGAGTGTATTGATGCCTTCCAAGAACCGGCAAAGACCTAACTAAGCAAATCCCCAAAAAACTCCAATCCACAATACCCGCGACTAGGCGTACCTAGACAATCCAACTAACAAAGTATCGACATCATTTTACCCATGAGTTCAAAAGCGATACGCTTAGAACTTCATGAGGTGAGGGCGGTCACCCTTGTTGAGGGAGAAGGAAGAAGCGAGGTAAGACTTCAAGTTGGAGGTCTTGTTGACGGCCTCGAGGATAGCCTTGTCGACGGCCTTCTGGTCGGCAACACGGGACTCGGAAACCTGCTTCTTGGCACCCTCACCGAAGAACTCGGCCTCAGTACCCTTCTTGGAAGCGGACTTCTTCTCGCGCTTGAAGTAAGCCTCGTCGAACTTGGCAACATCAACGGCGGAGACATCGACGGAGGTGGAGGTGGCGATGACGTAGGCAGCGTTGACGCGACGGAGGGGGACACCGTTGATCTTGAAGGGACCGGTGACGAGGAGGGTACCGTCGGCGAGGGTCTTCAAGAGGACGACACGCTTACCGCGGAAGCGGCCGGCGAGGAGGATGAGGACGGCACCAGCCTTCAAGGTGGAGCGGACCTTGGCGGGCCGGGCAGTCTTACGGGTAGCCTTGGCGGCGGAGATGTCCTCAGCCGGGTAGAACTTGGGGGCCTTGGAAGCCGCAATGTTGCGGGTCTGGCCGTTGTTGGCACCGCCGATCTGCTTGGAAGACATCTGACAAGATTGTTAGCAGAATTCGTGAGCAGACGAGAAAAGAACGGTCTCTATCTCATCTCTCGCTTTCTCCCTGTACACACCTTTTATTGAGAAGGAAAGCCGGGTTAGTCGCTGGGTCGTCAAATTCCGAACGTCTCGAAGTGCAAAGTCCTTTTGCTTGGTGTTGTGGCGCGGGGTGGCGAATGCACGCAGATTCGCAAGTCGCGCGCGTAAACCCTAAATGCAGTCGGTCATATTGTGCTGAACAGATTCCACATTGAAACCCATTATTACTAGGGTCGACGTAGGTGTAGGCCTCAAATAGCTTCTACCTACCTGTTCATGTTGGCGCAACTCCATCCTCCCCCGGATAATAACCAAATCGTTGGCCCACAGTCAACACAACATCTCCTGATCCTCAAGTACACATTCGATACATAGTTAAGACGATAGATAGATCATCAGAGTTGTGTTGTTGGGGTGCTTATAATCCCGAATCGTCTTCCGGAACGACCAATGGAGGGGTGTCGTAACTGAGAGAACGTTAGTCAAAGCGCACGAGAGATACGCCAAACTACTTACGCATCCCAAGCCAATGAATTCTGATACCATGAATCATCACCAAACGGTGTGATATTGAGAGTGCTCCGAATATCATCAGGACGTTCGAGGAATCTGGGTAACATGATCAGTACCGAGGAGGAGCGAGGAGATCAGAGGAGACATACTGCATTCCCAACCCAAGGGCGATATGCCATGCAATATGACAATGGAACATCCAACAGCCTGGATTGTCCGACTGTGGACGTCGTTAGCCACTGTCGATAACAGAATAAACACATCACATACCTTCCAAGCCAACAGCATATGCCCGAACGGAGGACACATAGCAGTATCACGACGCACTGGGTTCGTTCCACTTATAGATGCCGTTGCTCTGAAGAGGAGTTAGCCTTCCTGATAATTAGTTTGACCATGTATCAGTCACTCACTTATTGAATTGCGAGTCTGACTCCGAGAGAATGTAGAAGTCATGGCCGTGAAGATGCATCGGGTGAGCAATGCCTCCTGGAGCTTGGATAACGAAGTACACCCATTCGTCTCTTTGATACAATGGATATACATTGTATGAGGCGGGGAAGTCGAGGGGGGTACCGAACCACGCATGGTTCTCCACGATACCAAGTGATGGCTAGATAGAGATGACGGTTAGCACTGGTACTAACTAGAAGACAGCATAACACTCACGTTGCTAAAGTTAATCAACAATGAAGCCTCACCCGGGAGGGTTGTATTGGACACCGGGGTGATGGTTGACGGATCAGTGTACGCAGGGGCGTTGGATGGACTCGTAGTCGTGTTACTCGTGTTGGCCGGCTCGTTTTTGTTAATGTAGAAGAGCTCAGAACGTCCGGGACCGGACGTGTTCCAGTGACCCACAATCATGCCGTACAGGAAATCGGCGTCCAAGTCCACGGGCACTTCTTTGTAGAGGATGGGCTGCAGCTGACTGGCAGGTAGGTCGAGACAAGTCTCTTGGATATCCCATGCCGTGGTGACAGGCTCGACTACGGGTGCTCCGGCGTAACGTAGGATTCCACGGCCAGTTGTCATATAGTTCGTATTGAACGCACAACCACCGACGACAGCAGGCACGGCACGAATCCAGTAGTTGTCGACATCTTGGTTCGTTTCGAAGATAATTTCGTAGCGCTGACCTGGGGTAACGAAGATGTGGTCGACGACAATCGGTTTGATGGGGGTATAGTCAGTACTGACGATCGTGATGTTGTGGTTGTCGATGCTGAAGTAGACACTGTTTTCGCCCAACCCGCCGATGAGACTCATTTTATATTTCGTGTTCGGCACGACATCCACCTCTAAGTAACTGCCGGTGATGTTTCCCGTGTTGTTGTAAACGTTAGTCCCATTGAGCAACATATTGTCAGCGTTCTCCATTGCAACCACGAGACCGAATCCTCCGTTGGCAAGTTGACGGATGACCTTGAATGCCGATTCATGACGCCAGTCGGTAAACATCAATGGGCCAAGATCGCAGTCGTAGTTGCCAGACGTAGGTCCATAAATGGTAAGAGGGCCGGCGAGACCTTCGATGTACTGCATACTAAAGTGGGAATGGTACCATGATTGACCGTAGTGATCCGCCTTGAATCGGTAGGTGTAGTTGCCACCAGGAGGGATCGGTGCTTGAGTAACACCGGGAACTCCATCCATGTGGTTGGTGTTGAGCTGAGTCTGGGCATGGAAGTGAACTGCAGTACCGTTGTTTTCAAGGCAGTTGTTGATGTGAACCACAATCTCGTCTCCCCAGTTCGCCCAAATCATTGGCCCAGGCAAGGTGCCGTTGAAGGCAAGGGCTTGTCGAGGGACACCATCGGGAGCCAGGGTAATGTTGACGACGTCGAGCCAGTACTCACGAACGACTCCGTGCTCGGCGATTCCTCCACAGAATAGTAGTCGGTGTAGATGCTGTAGTTTCCCCAACACTAAGAAGCAGTCAGTTACAAGCGACGGGTGCTGCAGAGGACGAGGCTCACCGAGCGACTGCTGGGCGTGTTTTCGCAGAAGGAGCCAGATGACGCCTGTTTCTTCTTCAAAGGGAGGACACCGGCAACAGCCTGCCCCAGGAAGGCGACAAGCGCGATCAAAAGAAAGACGTGACGAGACATCTTCAGGATACCTGTGTCCGTAGCCAAGGGATTGTGGAGTAGGAGATCTCGAGGTGAGGTATGTGCTGGTCGTGCTCAGGGAATATTAACGACTGGCAGTCTCGAAACAGCAGCTGGCCAGCCCCATTATATATGAAGCATTCGTGTCGACATGCTGTTCTCAGACTTCGTTCCCTTTTCGGTACCATGAAAGGGTGCCCGAGGTGGTATACGGCGGGCAGTACCCATTTCATTCGCACGGCCTTACACTGCGCACACGCGCACAATCTTGAGGCCGAGTCACACCAGACATCTTGCACGAACTAGCCAGCAGAGGCAATATCGGCCGACACAGCTGCTAACTCCGTCCTTTGTTGGTGTTTCTGCACCGTCCGTTGACCTTGACCACGTAACACCGCATGCCGCGTATCCAAGTATGGTAACGCACGGCACTGACTTGCCCCGAGCCGTTGCTCATGCTCGCAGTGTCCAATGAAAGATATCGTTCACGGGTTAACCTTGCTTCCGGCGGCAGCTGCGTTCGTCAGTCAATCTATACCATTCCACCTCTTAAAATCTCTAAAAATAGAGTCGAGAGCCTTCACCACATGAACGACATGGGGTAATATCCGAGAGCCTCGTCATAATCGAGATTGTACAGCCGCCCTTACGACCCGCATGCCAAGGCCTGGTAATCATGATCCTCAGCCAAGCTTTGAGGCAGACGGATCGGAACCAAAGACAGATGTGTGTGTTGGCGAAAAGAAGCGACGTCAACTTCACCCCGAACTCCTTCGCACTCCGGATCACCCAACCTTGAGCTTCGTGCCATACTAACTAACTCTTAGCGAGCTCATCCCAGACTCAAGGCCATGCCGTCCACATGTTTGCAGATGCACCGGCCGGCTCGGCGCCTAGCCTGTCAAGCGCAATACGACCTCGCTTACGCAAAGAGCGATAGGTAAGGCAAAAGTACGGCTGAGGATTTTGAGCTGAGCGAGCGCAGGCGCGCGGGGTCGAGCCGTTGAAAGGTCGGAACTCCCGAATTCCCAGCAACTTTTAAGGTTTGTTGGGCACCTGCACCGAACATCTATGTTCGCCAAGGAATCTGTCAGGGTGAAACTGACTGCAGATGCGACAAGCTCGCACAAGGGTGACGATATATTGCGTTTATGCCTTGCGCTCGAGTTTTCACCGCGGGACGGTCCGGCCGCCTGCTTGCAGCTGTGAGGACACCGGGACCCGCGGTAAAATACGTCTTGAAGTGTTCCTTATATTGCTAGATATCAGGAGACTGGCAATGTCTACGTGTGGCCAGTCGAACCTGTCCCATATGGTTGCTTCTTCATTCCCGTCGGTATAATCATCTTCCGACCGCATTCATGCCGTTGAACCCAAATCCCGTATCGACCCCAACATGACGTATCACACCCCGAACTTCCAACTTCTATCGATACTCCCCTGAAAACATTCCCTGCCGCCACATCGGTAGCTTATGCTCCTTCGCCCAAAACAACCCACAGCTATTACACAAACTCTTCGCTCCACTAGGTCCCTTCCTCGCCGCCCAAGTCCCCGTTCCTCCAATTCCACAATGTTCACACCGCCACCTCAAACGCTCCATATCCGTCAGAATAACAGCGCCATTCGCCCCAGGTCCAGGCGTACGACCCGTGGGTGATGGTGAACGTTGGGTTCTTTCTCGTGCACCGCGACGACGTTCGGATTGTACTGGAGGTGGTGCACCGGAACCGAACCGGGCTGCTTCGCGGCGATTTCGCCGTACGACTCGATCGCGGTCTCCGTCGCGTTTTTCGACTTCTTCTCTTGACAGGACTTCGACTTTGGGTGCCCATAGTGCACCAAGACCGTCCTGATCCACACGTACACCGGCTTCTGCACCATAAGGTGCGTCGTTGTCGACCTCTGCTGGCAGACCTCCTTCACATGCCGTTTTCTTGAGTTGCAAGAGTTGTTCGTGTACAGCATGACAGATAGCACCAACCCACTCTCCAGTCACGCCAAGGTCCTCACAAATCCTCTTCGTCCATCCGTATACATCTCCATCTCCTGTTAGATCCCACTCGAACTTATCGGTGAACAGATGCCTCGAAAGATGAAGTGAGATGTCGACAATAGCGCGCAGGTCGGCTTCTGGAGGAAGATTTATTGATGCAAGAGGCGCGTATTCTTCGATTTGTGTGCGAATTTGCGTGGAGATTTGGGAGGCAAAGATAGCTGGAGGGATAGAGAGGTCGGCGCAAAGAATCATCGCAAAAGCATCGGGTGATATCAGTTCCTCTGTGCACACACTGTTAGCTTTCGTGAAGCGCGAAATCTTCGGATGAATGCATACCATTCATGTTCCACATAAACGTATCCTTGAACTTGAACTCCCCCAGATTCAGATCCAGTCGGATAGGGATTAAAACCTCGTCACCGCCCTCATCTGCAGCACCACGCACCTGCTCATCTGTTCTCTGCGGATGCCGTGTCCGTAAATTCTGCTTCTTCTGCACCAGAGTGTCCGACGGTGGGCCGGCTACAAACCCTCGATAGTCAACGTTATCTGCGTATGCTGCGGCTGCTTGTCCGCGTTGTGCTTGTGCGTTATTTGCGTTGTTTGAGTTGTTATCTGAGGTTTCGTAATCATCGTCGCGCTCGGCGTAATTGACGGTCGTGAGGGTTCTTCCGGATCGCGACGTGGTACCACCAGTACCTACTCTGGTCTCTCTGGTTTGCTGGACTATATGTGGAGTTTAACGCTCTGAACGATTGCAAGGTGCTGTCGCAACACAGTGACAACTCTTACCTGCTGGTGTGATCAACGACGTCGTACCCAATCGGATGCGCGACGGATATGAGGTGTACTGTGGTGCGGCCATTGTCGAGCGACTCTGCTTCTTCTCTGTGGAAACAGATCCTGGCCAGCAATGGGAATCGTTGGTTGTATGCTGTATGTCTGTTGTCGCGTCTCGGCCGCGACTGCAGGTTGAGCGCGTGGACGACAGCTGCGGCCGCGGCAGGACAGGGTAAGAAATCGATAAAGTCCCAAAAATATGGATTGATCAGATACCTAGAGCTAGAGCGACCTAATCTGAAAATGCTAGATGACGACCAGAACGCCCCTGATACAAGCCTGTAGCTATGCTAGACCCCGAGAAACAGCCGTCCGTATCTGTTCACGCGCCAACCTTCGATTTCACAATCATTTCTTGGCTTCGGAGACCTGCCCCATAGACTTCCTTTTCTCCTTCTTCATCTTCTTCGCCTCCGCTCCACTAGGTTTCTTCACCGGCGACTTGGGCTTCTGCTGCTCCTTTACCGGTGACTTCTTCTGTTGCTCCTTCTGTGCCTTGATCCTTTTTCTCTTTTCTGCAAGCTTCGCCTTCTTCTCCTTCTCCTTCTCAGCTTCTTCACCCAGCTGTGCAGGCAGCTTCTCAGGCGACTTCGATTGAGATTTTTGCTTCTTCGATGAGGGCTCATCCTGTTGCTTGGCTGGTGCAGATTGTGCCTCCTCACGCTTACGCTTCTCGCCCTTCGAGAACTTGGGTGCTTCCGTCCTAATAACATCACGCTCAGGCTTGGCCTTCGAGGATGTCGACGTGGGCGCAGAACTTGCTGAAGGCTTGGTAGTAGGTTTGGTCACAGAGACATTTGCGCCGCTGATCGTTCTTTCAGCCTTCTCCGCGCTCGACGCCTCCTCCCGGAGCCTTTGGACTTCAATATTAGCTGCTTTGAGCTCTCCCTTCACAATATGAGGGCTTCTGCCTAGCTTCCACAGCTCCTGCCGCCATTGCGCTGTAGCCAGTGTTCCAACCCCCAGCTTAGCAGCAATTTTGTCCTGTGCTTTAACTTCCTTTTCAAGTTTTTTGGCTTGGGCAATCGCGACTTCGAGGGGAGTCTTCTCTTGCGCGGGCTTGCGTTTCTTTTTGGGCGGCTCGGCAGATTCCTTCTCTTGGAGAGCCTTCGTGTCAGCGACCCCGCTCGGGGCTTTCTCCGTGGGAGCACCTTCGCTCGACGAAGAGTCCGCAGAGGACGCTTTACGCTTTTTCGAAGAAGGTAAAGGCGCATTAGGAAGGCTGTATTCCTTCCGGGCGGAGTCCGGGGCAACTTGCGAAGCCACGAAAGGATCGTCCATTCTGGCAACAGCAGCTCCTGCTTGTTCTAACTTGGCGTCCCCCTTTTGCCTGGATTCTTCGAGTACCTGCACTTTCGCTGGCTTTGAGGCCGTAGCGGTCGGAGGGGCAACCGAGTCTTCGCTTGCCTTCTTCGTCTTGCGCTTCTTGTCCTTCTTGACCTCTGCCACAGCGGATTTGACTTCCGGCTGAGCGGGCTTCACCTCGGGTGCCGGAGCAGGAGGAGCGGCTTCGTCTTCGGAAGGGGACTCCTGTTGGGCATTCGCCTTCTTAGACTTCCGCTTCTTCTGACTCACGTCTGCACTTGCGTTGTGCAGCTCAGTCGCATCCTGCTCCTGTGGCTTCGCTTCAGGTGCGGAAGCAACTATAGTCGACGGTACTCCAGAAACAGCAGGTGCAGAGACAGAGGCGGCATCAGACTTTGCTGCTTCTGCCTCAGCTTTCTTGGACTTCTTTTTCTTGCTCTTCTGGTCGGCCGAAGAAAGCGCGGCCTGCATAGCATCACCACTGGACGTCTCAACCTCAACGGGCTTATGCGAAGGTTCCGAAACTTCCGCCGCAGGAGCAGCTTGGACGTCCTCGGATTCCTTGGCGGGGGATTTGACCTTCAACTTTTTCGACTTTTTCTTCTTCTTCTGTGAAGGTTCGGGCGGAGTAATAGGTTCATCGAGGACAGACTCGATCGGCTTCTGCGCACAAGTGGGCTCGTCGTCGATATGCTCTCCCGCAGCAGAAAGACCACCAATGACCATCTCAGTAGAATCATTGACAACAGCATCTTGAACTACGACAGGCGCGTCAAACGAATTTTCGGCACGCTTCTCCTTCTTCGGCTTCTTCGGCTTCTTCTTCATCTGCGACGACGACTTTGACTGAGATGCGGTCTCCTCAGGAGACTGCGGTTGCTGCTCTTCCTTACTGTCTTCCATAGGTACATCGGGTGATGCAACCTTAGCGGAGTCAGCTTCGACAACAACAGGTTCAGCAACAGCTGCAACGTGCGTGGCGGTATCTGCCTCTGTTTGCTTCGTGTCGTTTGACTTCTTCTTCTCCTTCTTAGCTTGAGACATGGATTGAGACAGCGTTTCGCTAGAAGTAGAAGCAGACTCGTGAACGGGCGCCATCGCTGCTTCTGGCTCTACAGGCTGAGCGACGTCAGGACCCACGACGTTATGACGTCTGTCCTTCTTGCTGCTCTTCTTCTGCTTCTGTGAAGACTCGGGCTGCGTCGAGACGGGGTTTTGCTGGGTAGGTGAAGGCTCCTTTTGAGCGGACCGCACCTGTCCCCATGCGGCGTTGTCTATCAACGCTTCCACCACCTCCTCGAATGGCTCAGCCGCCTGTACAACTTTCTCCCCAAGAACAGTAGGTACAGAAGCCTGGACAGGCTCGGCTTGGCTAGCAGCAGTTGTTTCGGGCTCAGCCGGCTGAGCGACGTCCGCATCCGCCTCCGCCTCGACCTGATCAGAAGTACGTCTCTCCTTCTTGTTTTGCTTCTTCCGCTTTTGCGAAGACTCGGGTTGCGTAGAAATCACAACTTCATCATGCTGAGCCTCTTCGCCAATGCTCTTCTCTGCCAACATGGCGATAGCCTCCTCAAGGGGTTCAGCAGCTTGCACGACCTCATCCTCCACAACGGCAGACGCTTCAACCGGTTCGGTTGGAGCGGGAGGGGCCACCGAATGGGGCACTTCCGTCACTGCACTCGCCTTCTTCCTTACCAATGACCCTCCGTTCTCCCAAAGATCCTGCGCAGGTTGCTGACTGGGCGCAATATCTTCCTCCGTTACAATGTTTTGCTCAGCAAACGCGCCACTTTCGGCGGTAACGTAGCTACTTTCCGCACTCTCATCCACCGAAGGCTCGGCATCCACCATCTCTTCATCACTCGCAACCTCAGTTTGGGGCGTCCCCTTCGGCTCAAAATCATACTCGGCATGATACTCTTGTGACTCTCCATCGCCGCATCTAAGCGCCAAATCCTCCTCCTCGGTGATGAGAGGACCATCGATGTCGGGGTTGTATTGTGAGAAGCTCTGAATCTGTTCGTCATGAGCATGAGCATGAACGTCACCGGGTGTGACTACAAAGTCGGGGTGGTCCTGAAAGTGCTGCATCTCTTCTTCGCTGATGGGTCGTCCGTCCATGGAGTCTTCAACGACCTGGTCATAACCATTGTATGCCGGTTCTCCGGCGGCAGGTGCAGCTACACCTCCAATGATGCCAGCATACTCAGCAAAATCGTTGTACGGTTTCATACCAGACATGTACACGGGCGTATCATCTTCCACACCCACAGGTCCCGGATCCTCTCCTTCTGCAACTGAGTCCTCGGTAGCAGTATTGCGATGAGGGCTCTCCCGCATCATTGCCAGCGTGACAGGTGTAGGCCAACGCAACGGCTCCGGCAACGGTCCAGCATCTTCAATTTCCTCAGTCTCTTCTTCTTCGTGGATTGATGGTGCGCGCTGCAGAGGTCCGTCATCAACAATGTCATCGTCGGGGATGGTGCCGACTGTCTTTGCCGGTGATTTGGACTTGGGAGGAGGCTGGGAAGCATCCTCGATGGCGTCGTCGGGCAGATCGTTCGATGACACTCGTGTCATCTGCGTCTTGACCGGTTCAGGCGCATCCTCAATGTCATGATCGCCATTCTTCTCCGTCTCCGTCTCCGTCCCTTTCCCAGCCTCCACTTCCACCTCCGCCTCCTCAACCGACGCCATCTTCAAAACCGGCCTACCAATCTCCAAAATAGGCGTCTGCCCAGGCTCCGCATTCTCCCACGAACTCGCCGTCCTCCCGGGCAACGACGGACGAGGAATCTCCGCCTCAATAGCCTTGAATTCAGCGTGCACTCGGTGCATCTCCTTCTTTCTCTCCTCTTCCGCCTTCTCCTCGTGCAACTTCCTATAGGCCTCATCGATCTCCGCGACTTGTTCTTCCACCGATTTCTGAACTTCGACTTCGTTCTGCCCCGACTCCATAGCTTCCGTCGATTCCGCTGTAGTCGTCGGCATCTCGGAAGGCACCTGCTCCTGCGTACACGGAATCACCATATCCTCATCCTCATCCTCATCCGCTCCCTCCTCTTCCACCGGCTCAGGCACAGGCTTCGTCTGTGTCAACGGCACCTGACTTGGCCTAAAATGAACTTTCCTCCGTACCTCTTTGCCCTTCTTCTGATCTCCGTCTTCCTCGGGATGCGGGAAGAAAAGAGGTTCCTGCGGTGCTGGCTGCGTAGCCGGAACCTCGCACTCCTCCTTTTCCCTCTCCTTCTCCAACTCCTCGTGTTTTCTCCTCGCTTCCTCGGCCAATGCAATAGCCTGAACCGGCGCAGTGCTATCCTCATCCTGCCCAAGCGAAGCAAAATGAGCAGAACTCCGGGTAAAGCTGAGAGGAGCCTGGACCCTCGCCATCATAAGAGTAACCTCTTGAGCGGGAATGTAATCTAGCTGTGCCCTAGCCAAGTCCGTAGCAGGAATCCGGATCTGGTAGTTGGAGGGTTTCCCGAATTGATGGGCCCATAGTGGGGAGTCGCGCCAGTTGCGGGGTTTCTCTGCGCCAGTGGGGACCACGTTCTCACCATCGAGTAGTTTCGTCAGTACTTCAGCTTCGTGGGCGGCTGCGGATCGAACGCTTGTGCCGGAAGGTCCATCGGTACTGACGCCTTTCTGTACGAGCACGAGTGGATGTACTGGTACGGGGGGCGGTAGGCCGGATGGTAATCCCATCTCCTTCTTGACCAACTCTCCAATTCGAGACACAGGCTTGTGCTTCCCATAAAACTCCTCCACAGACATCTGCCTAATCCCAACCCCACGACTACGTTTCTGCTCTTCCTCGCGTTCCTTCCTTGCCTTCTCCTCTGCTTCTTCTTGTTCCTTTACTGCGCGGAGGGCTTGTTGCCAAAGTCTTGCTTCGCGTTTTTCCTGTGCAGTGTGGCAGGTGGAGAAGGAGGTGAACTCTGCGGCGGGTTGGAGGTGGTTGGAGACAGTTGGGTCGACGGGTTTGGCGGGTTTTGGTTGGAAGCCTTTGCGGTTGTCGTTCTCAGGGAAGAGGATGCGGCGAATGGGAATGTCAATATCAATAGGAAAGTCGTCGCCGGCAGGCTTCTTGACTACTTGGCACTCATCCGCGTACACCCCCGGCGTAGGAGGAGACGACGGAGGCACTTCACTCCACATCCTGCTGCGACGCTCCTCGAAACTCATCCCACTGTCAACGGTAGCTGTTGCAGATGATGCACTGGTTTGACGACGCATCAGCTGAGGGCGAAGTCGAACACGGGCGTAAGCAACGGGTGGTGGTGGAGGTGGTGGCGGCGACGGTGACGGTGACACAGCTGGACGATATTTCTTGTCTTCCGGCGTTTGCCCAGGCAGATAAGGACTCGAAAACTCCTCCTCATTAATCGTGCTCATCCCATACCGCGGCGGAGTCGACGACTGCTCTCTCCGATAAACATACCCCTCCGGCACCTCAGGTGGTGAAGACGACATCAACGGCTCCCCATCCGCTGTCGTCAAATCAGGATGCCGAAGTGCCGCCCAATCCGGTTCGACCAAGCTTCCGTCAGCTCTCATTTGATCCCATGCGTCTTGGACGTAATTGATTTGTCGAACGCCTCGGGGTCGAGGAGGTCCGTTTGCGTGTGCTCGTGCGACACGGGCTTCGAACTCTGCTTTTCTCTTGTCCTTCAATGGATCGGACATGGTTTCCGTCAAGGGTCCTTGGATCGTCGACGGCCGGCTGGGTTCGCGATGGATCTCTGCCATACGCGTGTACACAAATTACTATGTTGACCAGATCGGGCAGGTTAATTACACTCCATGTTATAAGCACACAACTCACCAAACTTTTGAATAACAATTTCAATATCTTCCCTTTGGTATTCGGACCCCACCCGCCTGCGACGTGTCCCCACCTCCCCAGCCGGTGCCCGGTAACGTAGTCAGAGCCCAACTCGTCACGTAAACCTCCCACCCACCTCCCCGACCAGTTGGCAACCCAAAATGCCCCGCCGATCCCGCCGCAACCTCCTCGTCCTAATCCAAGTAACCCTCCTCCTCGGAATCTGGTACTACGTCTCCTCCCTCTCTTCCTCTGACCCAACGAACTCTCTAACGGACTTGTACGAACGGTCTCGACAAGCCGCTGCTCAATTTCAGCAAAAAGGGTCTCTGCAGAATCAAGCTTCTCCTCCACAACAAGGAGCGGAGAATGTACAAGAGAAGGTGGAAAGGCTAAAGGGAGAGGAGGAGGGATGGAAGGAGTTGGCGAAAGAGTTGGAGCGGGAAAAGGGCGAGGTCGAACACGGCCACGACTGGACCGAAATCGCCAAAAAGCTAATGGAGGAGAAGAAAGCTGAAGGAGTAAATATGGCGCTCCCGAAGGGTGGTGTACTCAACGGCATGGCTGCCAAAGTCAAGGGCGGAGCAGCGGCTGGAGCGGCGGCGGGTGTGAAGGAGGTCAAGGATATACTGAAGAGTGGGGAGGGCGCCGTGAAAGCCGCTGCTGGTGCTGGTGTTGCTGGAACAGAGGAGAAAGCTGAGGAAGAGGTCGTGTTTGATGCCGAAGCGGAGATTCAGTCGATTCTGACCAAAAACCCCTTGACCATGTTCTCGAAATCATACTGGTACCGTATCCCCCCTTCCCCCTCTTATGACGCTCACTGACGTTCGTGGACAGCCCATACTGCAAACGCGCGAAAGCAGTTCTCGCATCCCACACCATCTCCCCACCCCCCTACATCCTCGAACTCGACCTCGACCCTAACGGTCCCGCCATCCAATCCGCGCTTGCAGCCCACAGTGGTCGTCAAACCGTCCCACAAATCTTCGTTGGAGATAGTTTCCTGGGAGGGGGGGATGATGTCGTTGGATTGGAGAGAGACGGGAAGTTTGTTGGTGTGATTAGGGAGAAGAGTGCGGGGAAGATTACGATTTCGTGAAGGTGTAGACAAAAAAAATCAAAAATCTTGGTGATGGGTATGGGTTATGGACGGAACCACCAGTTGACACTACACACTATCTCGTCTCCGGATCCATCGCTTGAGTGACGATTTTCGCCTTTGAGCGTATGCCACCACCCCCTCGGAATAAACACCCCATCACCCTCCCTCAACACAGCTTCCATCCCACCCTCTACTCCCTCCACCTCACTCCCACCCGCATCCGCATCCGCACCCGCACTCCAGACATCCCTAATCATACTCGTATTCCTCAACACACCTTGTCCGGGTCGTAGCTGTGCGCCCGCTGTTGGAGGATACAGCCGTATCCGCTTCGTCCCGTGAAGTTGTAGGAAGACGTTGTCGTTTGGGTCGGTGTGGAGGGGAGTGTGGATATGGCTTTTGCCGAGCCAGAGGGAGCGGGAGTAGGTTTTTTGGGGGGGTGGGAGGTAGGGGGTTTGGAGGTCTGAGAGGAGGGTTGGGATCTGTGCACGTTTGTCATGGTCAGCTCGCGTTGTCCATCGGTAGTATACGTGAACCAGGGACTGACCTGCGCAAATACGTCGCTCTGAGCGAGATACCCCTTCATCCCCACTTCCGCTCCCAAACACACATCCACAAACAACCCAAACGGAACCTCGACCCTCTTCGTCTGCGGATCCGTATACCCACCCTCACCAACCTCGACCACAACCAACCTTCCTCCAATCAGCTCCTTCAAATATCGAAATCTCTTGTCATCTTTCCTGAACCATTTCTGGATGGCGGGGAGGTGGGAGAATGTGGCGGGGAGGAGGATGGGTGTCGGTGCGGGCGATGATGTGTGAGCGTGGTAGGTGAGCGGAGTGAGAGGGGAGAGGGTTGGGATGGAGGAGATTGAGCGGGAGAGAAGAGGAGATCGGAGGCGAGTTGACATTCAAATTAGCTGTCGCTTGATTCTGAACAAAGATTGATCTTTCTCACGTTCACGTGCCCGCCTGCTTTTTCCTTTCCTTCGAATTCGCGACTTGAGCTCGAACACAATCAACCTGTCGGCCTTCCTAACCCAACGAACACAATCAACATGGTATGTTCCTCTCCTCCACCCAGCAACGTGATCAAGATACAACCGGGTGATGATGTCTTCAAAATCTGATTTAATGAAGTTGAGGCTCCCGTGACAAGGAGCCATGAAAACGAACTTTCTTGAAGCTGAACCATCTGGTTGATCGATCGATTATTTGTTGTTGTTGGGGTGATAAGCGTGTTTTATCAGAGCATGGCTAATTGATGTATTTCTTAGGTGATCTTGTGATGATTATGTTCATGAATGCTACTATTGCCTTCCATTCCATCCCTGACGAGTGCTGCGTTTCGGTTTTGATAGCTTGCCGACTCCTACACTCGCGGACTTGCAATCGCCCTCGACCTGGGCACGCTGATATCCTCGGGTTTTGAATATTACCCTTGGGACGTATATTCTAGTTGAACTGTCTGGCAGCTGCGTCAACGAATGGACCAGGTTACTGCAGACAACGATGAGTTCGATCATACGTCTTAAGGGTTATATTCGAAGTTGACATCAACAAAGGCCCAGCGTAGCTGAACAGGTTAAGGCTCGGTGAAGGACGCAAAGGACGCTGAAAAAACGTGGGTGGCCAGTAGCTGGTCGGGATCACAAAACTTGCCTGTAAACCTCCGCATGTATGCGTTCATGTGCGGTGAATAGCTACCTACCTACGTTGATGATGATAAATGTCTTCCTTCCTTAACCTTAACCGGGTCCCCTCCCCTCCATCCATATCCACTGTGTCCCCGCGTACAAGTCCTCGTCCCAAGCGAATGCGAACCCTGCCAGTCAAACGCGCACCCTGCAGCTGGCCGGTATTCGACTCTACACCAAGAACGATAAGAGCAGCTCGCGACAAAACCGTACAAACACATCTCCGTTCGGGATAGAATGCAGCTTCACGGTACCACCGTCCCCTACAACCATGCCGCTCCGCTTTATGGTGATCTCGACACGAACGACGAGGTGTTGAGGGAGGAGCCCGAGCAGGAAAGTTTGGAGGAGGATGAGGCCAGTGAGCCGCCGGCGTACTATGGTAAGTGACCAATGCTATCAATGTTCTCCTTCTGAGGCGCATTGATGCCGTTATGTGGGGTGTATGCTGACATTGGGTTGGATAGACGACTCTGCACTCTCCTCGGTGTCGGAAGCAATGACATGGATTACATGGTTCTGCTCAGGCATCGGCCACGAATACTTTGCCGAAGTCCCCGAAGAGTTCATCGAAGACGACTTCAACCTCACCGGTCTCAGCAGCCTTGTGCCATACTACAAAGAAGCACTCGAAATGATCCTCGATATCGAACCTGATGATGCGGATTCCAACTTGCCGGATATCTCGATGGTGGAGGCGAGTGCAGAGTTGCTTTATGGGTTGATTCATCAGAGATACATTATTGGGAGACATGGGCTGCAACAGATGTCGGAGAAGTTTGAGGAGGGAGCGTTTGGGTTGTGTCCGCGCCATTTGTGCAATGGTCAGCCTGTCGTTCCATGTGGGCGTACCGATGCGGTGAATGCGGATACCGTCAAGTTGTTCTGTCCGTCGTGTTTGGACATCTACGTCCCTCCCAACAGCCGCTTCCAAAAAGTCGATGGTTCGTGCATGCACCTCGCTCATCCGTCATCAAAATGCTAATCTTTACGCTACAGGAGCCTTCTTCGGTACGACCTTCCCGCACCTTTTCTTCCAAACCTACCCGGACTACATCCCCTCCATGACCTCCGAAACATCACAAATCTACATCCCCAAAATCTACGGCTTCCGGGTCTCTGAACGGGCAAAGACTGGGCCGAGGATGCAGTGGTTGAGGATGCGGCCGAGTGATGTGGGAGAGTTGGAGGAGTATGACCGGGCATTGGAGGCCGCGGAGCGAGAGGAGAGGGATAGGGATGATGCTGGGGAGGGTGCGCGGGGGCATGACGCCGGACGTGGAGAGAGGAGAGAACGGGATGTTGCGGGTGAGGATGAGATGGATGAGAGCAGTAATGGCAATGGGCAGTTCAGGAATGGGTTGACGAGGGCGGCTGCGGGTGGAGTTGTGGATGGTGTGGGTGCGAACAACTCGGGTTCTCCGGCGTCGGGGTCGGGGTCGAAGTCGCGATCGTGGTTTGCGGGGTTGAGTTTGAAGGCTACGCAGTTAAGAGTGGGGGCATAGAGGAGGTAGGTATGCACTATTCTCTATACCAAGTTTTACGGTACGTGCACGGATTGCATCATGATTTACGGCACTATCGATAAGTAAATGTTGCCTCCGAGAAAAAGAGCAAACAATCGACAACCATCCTCCGTATATTTTATTGAGATCGAGCTTGCAATCGTATGACCAAGCACTTCCATGGTCAGGAAACTCGTCAAATGTCCTGAACGAGTCCGCGGCTGGGAGCCATTGGCCCCCGAGTACTCTCATGCCCTTGTGCACACCCCATCGAAATCCACCGATGTACCCAATGTCAGCACATCCAGGCCATCATCAAAGTCGAATGGAATGAGGAAGCGCAAACTGAAGAAGGAGAACTCGGAGCTTTCGCCGTACTTTGCGGAACAGCGCGCTGCTGCTGCTGAGGCCGAGAAAACTCATCTGGCCAAGGAGAAGAGGCGGGAGAAGGAAGAAGAATCAAGGAAAAGGGCTGAAGATGAACAAACGAGAAGGTCGGGACGGGCAGTAACGAAGGCTGAGGAGAAAGCGACGAGAAAGGCTGAGAAGGAAGCAAAGAGGGAAGAGAAACGACGAGCGAAGAAACGCAAGGTCACACACGATGAGGCACCTAGTTTACATCGTTCTGAGAGCCTAATGACACCTCCGACGACAGCTAAGCCTAAGTCGAAGGCAAAGTCTTCTGCGGCTGTCTCGCCCCCGCCAACAGAAATGGTTGTTGATACGCCGGTTCGGTTGCCACGACCTTTAAAACGCAAGAGAAAGACCGAAGATGCAAGTACTGATGATGCTCGGCCATCTTCCAAGGCTTCAAAGCAGAAGAAAGCCGCAGCTATTGATGTCAAGATACAAGGTGACCTTGCTACACCGCCAATTTCGGATACCGTCTCTCCATCAGACGCAGCCCTTATCGACTTCTCCACTGACTACACTCCAGTACCCATCTCAAACATCGACTACGACAAACTGCACCCAAGGAAAGAATCCCACTTCGGCCTCATCCAAGAACGGCTCTACACTGATCCCTGGAAAATGTTCGTCGCCGTCCTCCTCCTCAACAAAACCACCGGCCGGGCAGCTTTTCCAGTGATGTGGGAGTTATTCAAAAGATGGGATACACCCGAAAAGATGGCAAAAGCGAACTTCCACGAGTTACGAGAACTCGTGAAGGATCTTGGGCTGGGGAATAAACGGCCGGTGACGTTAATCCGCTTTTCACAAGAATGGCTCGCAAGACCACCATCAGAAGAAACCATGGCCTACAAAAAAGGTTACAAAAAACAATATCCACACGAGACAGCCATTGCGCACCTGTACGGTATGGGCCCCTACGCTTTCGATTGCTGGCGAATCTTCTGTGAGAAGTCGAGCAGTGAGGCATGGAGGAGCGTACGTCCGACAGACAAGGAATTGCGGAAGTATCTGAGGTGGCGCTGGGCGAAGGAGGGGGTGGATTGGGATCCGGAGGCGGACGAGTTGGTTGTTAAGGTTGGGACGGGAGATTGGATGGAACATCCTGATAGTGTGAAACCTGTTATCGCGGATGTTTCCAGCGAGGGGTCTAGCGACGAGAGTGAGGAAGACACCTGCATGCAAAGTGCGGATCGTACGCGATACTCAACTCCGCAGTCGACATCGACGCGTACGTCGAAACGGCGGTTATCGTCTGTCCTGCTATCACCTTCACGGGAGATCAAAGCACTATGCGACAAGCGTGTCGCCGCTGACCATGACTTGATGTCCTCGCCTGACCGGAAATCATTCAGAAGAAACAGGAGTGTGTTTCCTAGAGACGCTGAGAGGAGGTGTGTATGCTCTGAAAGATGGTGCATTTGTGGGAAATACAAGGATGAGGGAGCGGAGCGAGGGTATGATAGGGATTCGAGAAAGCCTACCGTGTGAAGATGGAAAGTAATCTACGCGGATCATACTCGGCATTTTAAGAGAAACAGATAGGGACGAGTGTCGATATAGCAGTTTACAGCAGCGGAATTTGACATTCATGACATCTGAAAGGTATCCCTATAGTCCTTGCATACGTGCGGCTTAGTCAGTATCCATGCTGTCTCCGCTGTTCTCATTCTGCTGCCTCCTAAGCTGCCTCTCCATTGCCTCCAAAAATCCCTTAACACCAATAACGCTCTGCCCCTCTTCAACCTCCAATCCCAAATTCCTCAACAAAGGCGTCATCTGACCCGTCCTCAAAGCTCTACTCAAGCTCCTCAACGATTGCTGGAACGGCGGACTTGCGATGACTTCGCGGATGGATTCTTCAGAAGTGTCGAAAGAGCCGGTCTGTGGGAGGTGGGGGAAGAGGGAGGCGCGGGTCTCTGGGTCAGCGAGGAGAGGTGCGAGGGTTGGTGGGGAGAGAACGTCGGTGAGTTCCTCATCGATGGGGTCGACTTCGCGAGGAACGCGGATATTGCTCAAGATATTCCTGAAGTTGGCAAAGTTGTCGCCGGAGGCGGCTTCTCCTGCGCCCGTTGGACGAAGCCTGGCATCAGATGAATCACTAGGTCCGGTGGTACCCATGGCCGGAGGGGGAACGCCAATTGCGTCAGGGTCGAGCTGGGAAAGACTGGAGTAGCCCGGTCCACCGCGGCGCGAACGAGCCATGAGCGGAGAGTCCTGGGGTCCACCGCCAACACCCCCGAGCAACTGCTGAAGGATACCGTTCTGGGAGTCAGCACCGAGGGAACGAAGCTGATCTTCCAAAAGGCGGCGGGCATTCGCCTCATCCTCGTCGTCCTCGTCCTCCTCGATATCGTGCTCCTGAGAGGTGGGATCGGCGATGAGCGCATTCACCCTGTTGCACAACCTCTCGTCATCGCTCTCGTCCTTGGACTGCATCCAGAAGAAGTGAATTGCGCTGGAGGACCTGAACTTGAGAGCGTAAACACGACCGGTGGTACACTGCGAAACACGCTCGAATTCGGCATCCTCGGGGAAGATGATAAGGTCGTCCTCGGGCTCGGAGGCGTTGCGAGGTTTCCAGTAGAGGTGGAGAAGGTCGTCCTCGACGTCCATGTAGAAGAGACCCTTGCGGGGGTCGGGCTTGACGAGTTTGGTGTGGCCATCGCGGTTGAGCTTGCCTGCTTTGAATTCGACGAGGCCGTGACTGCGGAGGATGGACTGCTGGCCTTGCGGCTGATTTGCGAGCATTGAGAGAAACTGCTCCATGATTGACTGACTTTGGAGGTACTGTTGTTTTCTCTGTGAGTAAATGCTGCAACGGCAGCGTACGCGGCCTTGTACTCCGTATGACGGAGATCACGTGAAATATCAATATGGAAGAATTGTAAAGGTCAGGAAATCATTTGCTATTATGGTATTATAGATATCTGTGAGGCCCCTGAGATCCGTTTCTCTTACCCTTGACCATGATCTTCATGAACCCATGGGCATCGGCGTGGGTGTCGATCCAGCCGAGATGTAGCAACCTTGAGCCAGTGAAAGATAAATAGTCCCTTCTCTCGTCAACGCATTGCAACATCTCTCGCAATCTCCGTCAGCACCTCGCTCACCACCTTTGCATTTCCCATCAACCCATGTCCTGCACCCTCAACAACGATCACTTCACCCCTATTCATCCTTCCCACGACCTGTTGTACTCTTCCCGGCGATATTCTCGAATCCAAACTTCCATGCCACACCTTGACCTCCTGATTCACATCCTCAAACTTGAACCCCATCTTGTTCGGCCTCTCTAATGAAGTCATCAAGTCAATCGCGGCATTCGCATTTGTCGTGGCGGCTGCCCAAATGCTCGCCGTGACATCGCCGGGAACGATGACGTCTGCGTCCTTCCCTGTCGATTCGTAAGGCGATATGAGAGATTGTGCCGTCTTCAACAGCCCGGATGGTAGCGCACGGAGGAAGCGGTGACTTATCGGTGCGGCGTCCTTGGCTGGAAGTTGACTTTCCGCGATCCATGGCGAAAGAAGATAGATCTTACCATGAATCGCAAACTTGAAGTGAAGTGCAGAGGCTAACGCGTAGCAAGCTCCCAAAGAATTGCCAACGAGGATGAACTTGTTGATGTTGAGATGCGAAAGAAGTGGTGCAAGGTCAGTTTCTATAGACCGTTAGCATACCTCGAAGGCAAACAGCATGTCAAACAGTACCTGGCCATGTGGAGACTCTCCGGTCGAAATCGGATACAGGATCACTGCCTCCCACTCCAGGACGGTCAGGGGTAATGATCCTCAACCCGAGCGAATGTGCAAGGTCATCGTAAAAGGCTGTGAGCTTCTTAGCGGCAAGTTCACAAATGTTCCTCGTCAACTCACCTGTAATCATACGATTCAGTCCCATTCCAACCAGGCATATAACCGGGAACCCTCCATGCATTCCCACCTCCGAGAAACACAGGGTCCGTCCATCCGGCAACTTGATCTTTTGCGTTAAATGCGGGTTCTCCACGATTTGCTTCACCTCTGTCGTGGCGATTACCTCCGTCAAAGCCTTGACGTGCGGCGGAGGCGAAGACGTCTTCAGTGGATGAATCTTTCTCTTCTTCGTCTTCTTCGTAGAGTTGCGAATTGGTGTTGGTGAGATGGGATCAGGAGGTGGTGCAGAGACGTGTCGTGGTAATCGAGGCGGTGTGTCCTTGGGTGGTGGAGTAGGTGGGATGGACGACACCGAAGGAGAAGGTGCCGAGCATTGACGATCCAGGTTCGCACGAGGTTGTCCAGTGCCGTTCATAGCATTCCTTTTGACCGCCTCCCCACTTCGCCTATTTCCCTCGCCATCTCTCATTGTGTTTATGTACTTCTTCACATAATCCGGCACCTCCGTCGGCGTATCCACCGTCTTCTCCATCGCATTCGAATTCTTGAACTTCGGGCTCCCTATCCAACTCTTCTTCACATTTGCACTTGTAGACGCCGAGGACGACTTCCTCCCCAGATTCAAACTCGCTGGCCGTGGCCTTCTCCTGAATGCTCCTTCCCTCTTCGCGTTCGGAGTAGGCGACGCGTCTGCACCCTTTCCAACTACCGCAGCCGACGAGCTACGTCCCCCAGAAGCAGCAAGCAACTCCTCAGATGTCGCGCCAGAATAAGAAGCATACTCTTCCCGATACGCACACGCGGTCGGGGAACTGATAGGGTCAGCCATCGACGTCGCGCCTAGCGAGGAGACGAGAGAATCAATGATATCAGGCGAACGTGGTATAGGATCATTTCCAGCCATGTCTATTGATGAACAAAGTCTATCGGGATGGCAGATCAAGTAGTCGCAGGAGGAGTCATTGCTTGGGGTGGCATTTGAGTTGTTTGGTCCGCGTCGCGGTTCTCACAAATGGAAGTGCGGAGCCCCCAGCGCTCGTTTACCACTGACAGCTCGATATGCCGAAAGTGAATTAGACGATGGAGCCACGGCGGTCGTCTTATATCAAGTCTTGGGTATAATTTATTCTATGTCTATCTAGCTATGGTATTTGCTATCTCTATGTTGAAGGCTCCACAGTGATAGTGAGGTTGTTGATGCTGACGCTCTTGTGCAAACGAAGGCAAGCAGTGCGCTTAACTCCATCAGCAGTGGCGTAATCAATGTTGACTCTCGTGTACTTCTCTGGTGCAGACGAGGATCTTGCCCGTGATGGTGTTGCCTTACCCTTTCCTTTGGTGATAGTTTTGGAAGCGCTCGAAGCCTTCGCAGCTCTGATCTCCTCCTCGGTGAAACCATCCTGGAGGTCGGCTCCGTCATCAATAATCTCATCGTCGGTGACTGTATCACTTACAGAATCGCCAATGATGGGAGCTCCTTCGCAGTAATGAACCACACGGTGACCGTATTCCTTGTCCGCATCAGCCGACTGAAGGAAAGCGAGCACCTCAGGAAGGCCTGCGACGTATCCCTCGACGTAAGAATCGGGTTTTGTACCGCTCTGCCATGGAACGGGTTTGACCACCTCGTCTGTCTGAACTTCCTTACCTCCCTGTTGCTTCTCCTTCGCCTTCCTCCTCTTCTCCCTATTCCCATTTCGCGGCTGATACGTCCCATCAATCACCGGCGTAGACACCTGCGCCAACGATCCCTTCCTTTTCTCCCCTCTGATCAACTGATCTCCCACCCGAGACTTTGCGACGGATTCGGGGATGGAGGAGGAGAGGACTGCGGGGCGACCGCAGCCGGTGTCCATTCTGTGGAGAGAGGGTTCGGGGATGGAGGCGCGGAGTTCTTGGGAGGTTAGGGGGGTTGAGGGTTGCTCGGCTGGTGCAGTGAGTGGAGAGGATGGGGGAGGCTCGACGTGTGATTGAGGGAGCGGGCTGCTGTCATCGCAGAGAGGAGAGGAAGGAGGAGGCGTGAGGATAGCGGAAAATGTCACAACATTGGTAAGTGTTGGTGACATAGTCGTGGGTTGCCATGTTGATGACCGCGAACCGGAAGGCGTTGATGGTGGTGCGGCAGTAGCTGCTGACACAGAAGTTGAAGCAGCAGAAGACGAGGTCTTCATTTGCTTCTCTTTGTGGGTCGTAAGGCCCTCATTCCCGGTCTTTTGCTTTTTTCGCTTCTTCTTTTCCTTCGTCTTGCTCGACTTGTCCTTGTCCGCCTTCGCCTTCGGGTAATCCGTGATGAGGCGTTGATCCGCCGCCGGCGGCGCATCTGAGCTTTTCTCCGGACTCTTCCGCTTCTTGTGTTTCTTGCTTGCGGTGTCGACCGCAAGCCAAGATTCTCCAGTCGCTGGGAAAGGTACTGGGGTAGCTTGTGGCGGACTCGGGAGAGTGTACGCTTCATCCGCAACTTCCTCTGCTGGAGTTTGCGGCACTTTGAAAACATCATCCTCATCCCCAACACTCGTACTCTCAACCCCCAGCACCTCCTCCTCACCTTCCTCCGCGAGCGATTCGTTCATCTCGAGATCATCCTCATTTACAGACGCCATACTATCATCAATATCTTCCACGGCCGGCGGAGAGACCCGGGGTGCATATATATGCTCGTCCATATCCTGCTCCGAGTCCTCATCCGACGAATCCGAATCATTGACATCGTGGTGATCAGCGTACCACCCGTGACCAAGAGGTGAGCGAGGCGGGGTGGGGGGTCGACGGGCTCGGAGCATTGAGATGTGGCGTTGTTGGGCATCGGTGAGGGGCGTAGCAGACGATGAGGAGCGATTCGTTTGCAACCACAACCACCGCCGATAGCCCATTGCAGGGACACCAAAGTGGGTTGCGTTGGGGGGTGGGGAGATGGGTGTGCTGGTGTATGAAGTTGGCGGTAGGAGGAAGAGTGGTGGTTGTGTCGGAGGTGTCCGAGGTGCGACAAACTGTTGCTGGTTTGGTGGTGAAACAGGTGATTGAGGTAGTGCGAAATCAGGCTCCAGGGTGCATCCTTGCGCCGCAGCAACAGCTCGAGTTTGGAGACGCTTCAAGGACCTCCTCGTAGGTCTATTGGCGACCTGCGCCGGTCTCTCCACCGTGCGGACGTTATCGGTTTGTGCCGCGAAGTGTGCCTCGGCCTCAGCCAAAGTCTGGAAGCCTCGCACTAGGTATCCCGAGCAGTTGTTCGTTGCTGCGTCCATTTCCTCTCTGCGATTTCGGATCAGTACATGTACGAGGGATCAATCGCAAGTGGACAATGAGCATACCTGTTCGAATACACTCTCGGAGTGAAGCCAACGATGACGGACCAGAACTTTGCTTTAGGCATGATCAGTTGATCCGGGATGGAAGAAGGGGAGGTTGGTGGTTGGTCGCAGTAGAAATTTCGTCATGTCGCTGAATTCTGCAGTACGCGCTCGAGCGACGCGACGATGCGAACTTTACAGTACGCGTAAATTGGCCGGCCATCTTCTGTGCAGGCTGATGCAGGCAGTCACCACCAAAAAAAAAATAGACAACAGAGAAGGATTGAAGGCCTTGATCAGTCAACGACAATGTCACAGAAACAGCCAAAGACCGCTGGTGCCGGATCGAAAGGTGCCAGCACAAACACTTTGTCCATCTCAAGGAACAAGCGTAAGCGGCCTCCTCTGATCTCCACCTCGATCCGTCTTGCTAAACTTACCACACATCAGACTGGAAATATATCTCATCTTATCATGGACCGTGCGTACCATCTCATTCTCAGCTCTATCGGCTGTGATTCGCTGACACGTCGTGATGGCCAGATGGCTGCAATTGCCCACTGAACTCCTCCAGTCTCTCTATACCATCAACGTAACGACGCTTCCTCCCGCCGTCCTCGATCCCGCAATCTTTGCCGATCTCGTCTTGGTCCGCCAACTCGTCGACGAAGCAACCTCATTAGCCGTTCGTGCGGCATCAGCGACGGCGACTGGACATGTCGGTCGACTCTCCAAGGAACGTCAACACCGTATGCGCGAACTGGCATGTCAGAAATTGGCGAGAGCTTATGCAGCGGATGAGGTTGCGGCTTCGGTGGCTACGATGCAGGCGAGTTCGGCGCTTGACGATGTTGCGGAGAAGGTGTTGAAGCGTGATCCGAATCATGTGGATGCTCGTTACGTTCACTTTTTCCATGAGAAGATTCCGTCGCGTAAGCTGGCTGAGACTACGTCGCTCGATGTCATCGAAGCACTTGCGGCCTCTAGCCCGATGGTTCGTGCCCATCTTACCGTCCATCGAACGTATGCTGACCAGTGTGTAGGATCTCTGGTATGTCCGCACTCGCGCCATCGTCCGCGCCTTCAAAGACGACTATCTCGGTGCAATCAAAGACATCACAAGCGCTCTGGCCACACTCAAATACCTAGGCGGCGCAGGTAAAGATTTTGCGCCAGTCGTCCCAGGTGGTGTATCGAGCTTGGAATCCCAATTCGTTTTCCAACGTGCAAGCAACTACCTCTCTCTCGCTGTTCGCGCAATCGACGCAGTCCCGGCTGGTACACCCATCGACGCAGAAGCGCAAAAAGCGATCAGGCAATACGCTCGCCGCGCAATCCGCGATTTCACTCGCTATGTCGGTGCATTCAAATTCAGCCCCAGCGTCTCCATCCCCATCGCTCCCGGCGACGGCCCCGAACCTTCTTCGCCGCCCGAAGAAAAGCCAAACGTGACATACTCCCTCTCCGAGCTCTTCGCACAGGACGCAAAAGAGCCTCACGAGATCATCGACCTATCGTCCCTAACCCTCTACTCAAAAGCCCCGCCCTCAACCCGTACCGAATCCGGTGAAGCGAAGAGAACGCCCGCAGTATCCTACCACCCCCTCCTCCCCGACGCTTTGTTCTCGCTCCTCCTCGCCCACGTCCTCTGCGGAACCCAGAAAAAGATATTGTACCGTCATGCGTCCTGGGTCGCGCGCATCACCTCCGTATGCGAAGGATACCCCGTCTTCCTCCCCGGCCGCTCAACCGCCCGTGCAGACTGGATCGAAGTCATCAAACGCGTCGGCGTGGATTTAGTCGAAGTTAAATCTTGGGATGAGGAGGTCCAACGCGTTCAACTGCCTATCCCGAAAGTCCGTGCACGGGAACCACGTGCTCCGGCGCCTGCTCCTTCTTCCAGAGGACCGGGGTTTGGGGGGGAGGATACGCAGCAGTTTCCGATGGTTACGGAGAGGGCGGGGATTGTTGTTAGGTGGGTGAAGGAGGTGGGGAATACTGGTATTGGACCGCCGACGCCGAAGAGGAGGACGGGCGCGAAGTCGGTGAAGGGGAAGGCGTTGGGGTTGGGGGATGGGTCATCAGCGGTGGGGGTGGCAGGGGCAGCGCCGGATTCGTTGAGTGTTAAGGAGTTGTTGAAGGCGCTTAAGGAGGATGGCGGGGATCATGAGAAGGCGGGGAGTAGTGCTTGATGGACAAAGGGTGATCTTTTTGGACAGTTTGGGTCATGGGGACGTGGAATGATATCTATGCTTATTTGGGTTCTTAGATTTACAAGGTATAAGCAATGTTATCTACCTGTTTACATGCTGTTCTTTATTCACTTTCATGTCGGATATAGTCAAACTCCGAGGAACTTTCAGGCTTCAAGTTTCCCCTTTGAGTCGTAGGTACACTGCACTCCCTGACTGATATCGATTATGGATCGTGCGATTCTGTGAACCCGGCAGCTGCGCGGCCTCCTTATGTAGCAATTACAAAGATATAGAGAAACAGCCCGCTCCATGAACCAACTTATAGATTGTGGGAACAATGTAGAGATGTTGTCACCAAAAACTTTGCTCATGCCACTATGGAGCTTGATTTTTCACAACATTCGCCCAAATGTCGCAGTGCATCGGGGTGATCTTGCAAGTCAAGGCGACTGCGCCCTTGTGTGTCAGTGTGAGGACATTACTTTGCACAGTGCAATATGCCCTGCGGTGAATACCTTCCTCTGCTGACGGGGCTCTCGGCGGCCGACTTCGAATTCATACAGTCACCCACAGCAAACGAGCTGATCATCGAGAGCCATATGTAGAGAGCTGAGGCTGGATGTTAGCGGAGGAGATGAGCGAAAGTAGGAAGCTTAAGCTTGCAGTACGGGCTACGAAAACAGAACATAGGGTTGGAAGCAACCAGACGGCAGTATACAGGTTCGTACTGTGCCGCTGTTCGCGCCTCCAATTTATCGTTGACACGTTGCAATCGCTTCATTCTTGTGAGACGAAGGGTCCGCAGCAATTATTTTTGTATGAAGGTGCGTGTGCCAATCGCAGAACGATGCATGGCAACGCGACAGGTTGGCGGGGTTAATGGCAGGAACAGGCATGCAGTGGCATGGTGATAAATAGAAGTGGTAACATCTTTTTGCGGAAGAGCAATGTTATAGTCATCACCACGAGCTGAAAGGGCTCAAGAATTGTACTTCTTGACTCAATCTGCGGAAAGTATGGAGAGATATGTGATGGCAGGACGTTTCAAGCGAAACCGCGAGTGCTAAACTCATTGATCAGGGATCTCTGTGCCTAAGGTGTAGGCCGTCATGGAGTCAAGTTTTGGAATGCGATGCCAGTGAAGATATGGGAATCTGTTTCAATGGCCTCAGGATTCCGACCCATGATCATTCCCACAGCCGTTCCCATTATATTAGTCTCATAACAGTTTCCATAACGTGATCCCGTAATAATGTCATGGAAACGCCATACCGGTTGGCTCTGTAGGATGTGCAACGAATACGTCACGGTTATACCGAGCGTTTCTGCCCATGCAACAAGAATTGCAAACATGCACGCTATCCATCCCTTTACCATTTTATACAACCGGACCACTCTCTCGGCTTCAACAATAGCTTTGGAATAGCATTGATTATTGTCATGTCTTACGGTATACAGCGTCCGCCCACTAGAGCAGCCTGGCTGCTAGCGTGATTCTGTCCCAAACATGCCGGTGCGCGCAACGGCAGAAATACTTCATTCTGGATTTCAGCCGCAGCAAATACTGACCCTGGTATCTGCTAAGGTGGCAACTAACAGTCATCAGTGAGGTACATAAATACGAGGTCCATAACATGCGAGGCCTCCCGGTGTACGTGTATCAGATGTTGACAATCGCAGTCAAGCCATGGTTACCTCCACCTTAATATGTGCTGCATCATCCACAAGTCTACTGGCAGGGAATCTTTCTATTGTCCACGTGAGCCGGATAATCTTACGATGCCTTAAAGCTCACGCTTCGGCGTGGCAAGTACGCATAGTGAAGGAAAATGATCCTGCCACAATGGATTTATCCCCGTCACAACATCGGCCAAGATAGAAGCGACACGTTACTGGTTGAGGCATCTGTAGCATAGGGCCGGCTGCAACTGGTTCGTCCTGTACAAAGCCATAGTTCCTCCTCCGGTTATCCCATCCTTCTTGACACGCTCATTGCCTAACCCTGCCCCCTCAAGTCTCTCTTCCCATGCTCCACGGAGTCACGATCGTACCAACCACTCAAAGCTTCTCCAACTGCAGTGTTTTGCATACACAAGAACTCCTGGCCTTCCGCGCCTTTCCCACATACCGGTGGGCCAGATAGGGAAGTAAATAGCGATAAATACGCTGTCGGGCTGCTGGACGGTTCCGCCACGAGTTCGAGACGGAGGTCATGAGCACCAGCAGGTTCATTACCCATACTTGAAATGGTGTGGATACGCAGGGGCAAGTGTCACGCTCTTCCTGCGAGAATTCGCGACAGTTCAATCTGGTCAAGGTCCCACGGCCGCCTGTCCTGCTCGCCTTTATCTCGCTCATGCCGCTGCCCTCGCCAGCCCTATCTCCTCCCAGGGCCATCCAGCCTTTTCTGCTCTTCAATTAGAGGAATTCGAAGGCTCTCGATCTGGTTGAAAGTTGCTCCTTGCTGGGCAACGCAGAGAGGGGTGAGCCACCATGCTCTCATATCCTGGCATAGTCACTGTATTACGAAACTAGAATGTCAGTAAACCCAGCCATTGCAACTTCAAGCTACCCTGCTGTTTGGGGCATATCATTTTTGGGTATCTTCTCTCAACCTATTTTTCCATACCACTGGCTGTCTACCTGCGTGTTACTGCTGTGTGCAAAATTCTTGACGTAACTTTCCCGTGCGCGCGAATCGCAAACTCCATATGACAAAAACCCCTAAATCAACATAGATAAAGGCCTCGGAGGTCGAGTAAGGGTTCAAACTGATCATACCTATCCTTAGCAATCACGTCGTGCCATCGGTTTTGGGCCACAAGGCCTCCCTTAATCGCTTCATGCTGCAAAGGTGTTTTCAGTTATAAGAAAGCCCTACGAGACCCCCAAATTCTACCAAACACTATTATAAAACACGAATAAAATTATCGAGTATTACAAATAGAGTTATTCGAGTTAGTGGGATATTCTGGGCACAATCTGGATTGACAATTCGTCTTGAAAGTAGAAATTTTTATACGATTTTCCAACACTAGACTGTTATAATATTCTACCTCATGCCCGCACACTGCACAGACGTGACGTTCATTGGTCCCATCTATCACAGGTCATCAATCTAGGCCCATTGATATTATTGAAACTTAAATAAGACCCAAAAATTTCAGAAGCCCAACCTTGCCTCAATTCCCACTGTCAACACACATATGCATACCATGACGCTTCCTCTCATCTCTCCTTTGTCCACTCAGTCAAAACAAGTTCATCGTCTTCATCATCATCGTTGGCGTCAAACTGCGGATCATCTTGGAAACTGCGATTGAACGTGTATCGATTTGATGCTCCTGAAGTGCGTAAGGTCTTCTTTCCGGGCTGCTTCCTACCACGAACCTTCATTGCCGTTGGGTCAAGCCGGGTTAGTAAAAACCGATGAGTAGTCGTTTTACTGTTGCTGTCAACAAAGTGCGGGACTCACCCGAATAAGAGGAGACATCAAGCAAGAGTGTCGAGATTAAACAACCATCATGTGCCCAGTTTGGGTTGAGACAATACAAGCCATAGCATCGGGAGAACAGATGGGAAAGGACCAGGGAGGTGTAGGATTCGATGCTTTCGTCAGTCAGTCGTGAGACACCCAGGGAGATTGAGACGTTGATGGTGGTGGGTTCCTGGTTGATGCTGAGGACTTGGTGAGATTTGCCAGCGCATCAGCAGTGCTCACATGTCACTCTCGAGAGGCGCAGGCCGAAGAACCGCCACCAAAGACCATTGATCCTCGTCGATCCATCAAAGACCCTCGAAGACCCTTGAAGACCCATGAAATCTAGCCAACCTCACGATCCAAACCCGTCAAATAAGGTATTTGTGTACCATGAATTGGAATTCCACTTTACTTAAATACTTTCCCACTTGATTCGTGTTTTTCGTACAGTTGAATGACTTATTCGAGTGCCTTTGCTGGAAGTGGAATATGTTATTCCATATTGTGCAATCACGAATCAGGTATTCGTGAACGTCGAATTCGGAGGGCTCGTAGGGTGCGGCTGCAGGGTTGTACGCGAGCGGCCATCACTCGTCACTATTGCTAGAACAAATATGCTCATCATCTTATGCATACTTAAGAGGGCAAGTGTGAAGGCTTGCAGTCACCTGCAGCTGGTCAAATACAGTACTACTTATCTCTGTAGCTATAGAGCTCAGGTGCAATATGTACGGAAGCTGAGTGAATCGATTTTGCAAGCAATTGCTGCGGATGCATATGTAATGCACATAGATGTGCACGATTGCCTATGAATTCTGATACAAGGACACAATTTACATGGGCGTACCCATATGCAATTGTGAGAGATAAGAGAAAACACTGATGTATGCATTATGAATATGGACCTACAACTGTTCGCAAAGAGGAAGCAAAGATGACTAGCTATAGTGCTGTGACATTTTGCAATTTCAAGGATCATGCACAACAGACAAAGTTGGGCTCAGCTGAAGAGCCCTGTTATGAAGACTCGTCCAAATTATCATGAAAACATATATCACAAAAATATGTATCACAAATTTTGAGTAAATGAAAAATTACACACCCCCTTCTTATTATTTGTTATTCCCTCTTGCCTTAATCTTTTGACATTATCACTGATAATGGTATTTGATAGGTGCATCAAAAACGCCGAACTGATATCCTGTATTGCAATTGATCTGGAGTTGCACTACTGAGAGAAATCCTGGGATCTTTGGATGCGTTTGAAATTATCGAGCCATAATTTCTTTTTTGTTGGACGGCCGAAGACTAGTTTTGGGCATTTCCTTCATATATTTGCATGGTGAAACTGTCAAAATTCACTTTGGAATGTGGCATTTTTCTTCCATTCCATTCTAGGCATAGCTATCTATAGGTCATAGAGAGATGGTATGAGATTCCCTACGCTGGTGATTGTCGTGGAATCCGAGTGCGTGGATATCCCACGCAAATTCCATGTTATGGTTTTTGGCACTTTATTCCTTGACAAGTAAATTCCAGGAATGTGGGACGCATCCTTGCCGGGCAATGACAAGACCTTCACCATGCGGGCTTACATCTGTGCTGTGGCGGGCGATAGACCTGCGGTTGAGAAGATGATGCAAACTGTTGGACCCAACGGTCGTCTCCCATGTCAGTTCTGCACCTTTGCAGGGACCTGGGTGGAGCGTTCAAATCACAACTACTACCCTCACTCCAGCTGCCGTAACATGCCTCGGGACCCTGCCACTTGGGAGAATCGGGATTGGAACATTGATGATCTTCCATACCGGAGACATCTTCGAAGAGACATGATCGACGTGGCCCGTGCGAACGACGATAAGCTACGGACTGGGACAGGTATATCTGGGTTCTCAATCTTACACCGACTTCCGACCATCTCTTGGCCCTGGAGTTTCGGTCTTGACGTCATGCACTTGATTTGCGATAATCTCTGTCATCTCCTCTTCAATCTCTGGGATGGTCGTCTTCCGCAAGCAGCTGCTGGGACGTCACATCCCGTTTCTGATGGCGAAGCTGATGGCCGTGGTGAGGATGATGGTGCAACTCCTATGGCAACTCCAGCGGCAACTGCAGCTCCCGGTACAAGATCGAAGCCGAAGCCGAAGCCGAAGAGGACGTCGAAGAAGCGTGCTGCGGATCCGTGGGTGATGCCGAAGAAAGTCTTAGAAGAACTGGGGCTCGACATGCGTAACTGTCGTCGCCAGATCCCGGGTGCCCTGGGCCGTGCTCCTCGGAACATCCAGAAGAATTCCGCTGGCTTCAAGGCAACTGAATGGTCTCTGTGGATGTCATTGTTCTCTGTTCCGCTGCTTGAAGGACGGTTACCTGAGAGATATCTCGCTAACTGGGAGACTCTTTGTGAGGCGTATGTGAGGAGTATAGAGTTTGAGATCACTATGGATGATTTGGCTAAGATCCGCCTGTTGTTCAAACGCTTCGTCAGGGATTATGAGAGCCTCTACTACCAGAAGGATCACCGCCGAATGCAGGTGTGTCCCTCCAGCATCCACATGCTTCTCCATCTGGCAGACTGCATTGAACAGCTAGGTCCTGCGTGGGTGTTCTGGGCGTTTCCAATGGCGCGTATGTGTGGAATGGTTGTTCCAAAGGCTAGGTCGAAGTCAGAGCTAAACGCCAGTCTTGCCAACACAGTCTTCATTGGTGAGAATCTCAAGCAATTCGAATTTGTGCGTCTTGTTTCCAAGGATTTCAATGCCTTCTTGAAACCACCTGATTCCTCTCGGGCCTTCATCATCAAAGTCCCCGAAGGTTGGTTTGTTTCGCCTGAGACGGAGTTAACCCTGTCAACCATGCCTCGTCGCCTTCTTGTTCAGATGCTGGAGACTCTTGTTGGCTCGCGCGTTGATCCCCAAGCTCTACCGAAGGAGGTTAAGGCATACAAACGCTTCCAGCTCTCTCAAGGTCGTGATATGGTTGGTTCCCAAGCTAGTCAGAAGCGTTCTGACCGGACAAGGGCGTCAAACATCATCCTGTACATCCAGGAGACCCACGGGAGGCACGAAGTGTTCTTCGGTGAAGTACTAATCTTCGCACGTCCATGTTATGAAAGGCAGCACTATCCACTGGCTTATGTCAAGTGTTACGGACCTGCTCAGCTCCGGCGAGGACGGTTTTACATTGCGGATTCAAAACCGACTGGTGGTTTGCATGAATGGATCCATGTTGCGGCTATAGAGCGCCTTGTTGGTACGATGAGTACGAAGTGGCTGTCTTCTCAGAAGGGCTTTGGGCGTAAACCTGTGTGGATTATTGATAGACAAAGCTTTGGATGGAACAGTGCGGCGAGACTTATCAATTCGCTGGACCTCCACTTAGATGACTACGCTTAATAGGTCTGTACAGCATCCACGAGAGCTCTTGGGATTTACTCGTCGTGGAATTTACTCGTCGTGGAATTTACTCGTCGTGGAATTTACTTGCTGGGTGTCGTGGAATTTACTCGTCAAGTAATTTACGCGTCGTGGAAAATACGTGTCAAGTAATCTCAGATTCCACGTCAAGTAATCTAGAAGTCGAATTCCATGCTGATTCCACGAGCGTATCAAGTAATTTACGCGAGCTTACCACCTGCTCGTGGAATTTCCACAAGCACTCACCCCGTAGGGACACCCGCAGCTATATATATAGATCTTCCTCGCGGCAAGGATTCCGCGAGCTTAGCAAATGCTTATGTGATTTCCACGAGCGATACGACCGTAGGGGCATGTTTATACATAGCAGGTGGCTCTTGTGGGTTAATACATGAGAACAGTTATATATAGCAAGCCTTCAATATGTCAAGGCATACAGGTGTCATTTTTGCAATTTCTGAGGTATTTTGCTGCAACTTTTACTCTGGCAGTGATCCATGTTTTATCGGGGCTTGTGTTCCACATCATTTTTACTGGGTATAATCCATGAATAATGTCAAAGATTGTGATCAACGATGAAGGGCGTAATCCATGTGTAATTCCAGACTAATCTACGATTTTGACGTCGATTACTTATTTGCCCAAGAGTAATCTTACACGCGGGTTTGATCCATGATTTTTCACTATGTAGGGGTGGCGTTACTGCAGCCGAATGCCCTCATTTGCCCATCCAGTCAGAATTTAGATTCCTAGGATGATGGTCGTTAACATGGGACCAACTTTGGGAAATTCCTCACCAGGAGGTGGTGATCGCTTGATTTTGTATATATGCCGGATGAGACAATTGCTCTTCCTTTTGAATTCTCTTCGTCATGTCATTCAGGCAGTTCGAACTTAGGCAAGCTTAAGGGTGGCACTGTAGATGTTAAGTAAGCCTCGAAACGCAAAGCAACCTTCACCATGCCCACTGTAAGTTGCAGCGAAGAGCATAAGTTGCTCGTGCATCTCCTTTTCATTGATGCGGGATATCTTATTCTCCTGGAACGAATATCATTCCAGGTCAAATAAGGTATTCGTGTCCCATGAATTGGAATTCCACTCTACTTGAATACTTTCCCACTTTATTCGTGTTTTTCGTACAGTTGAATGACTTATTCGAGTGCCTTTGCTGGAAGTGGAATATGTTATTCCATATTGTGCAATCACGAATCAGGTATTCGTGAACGTCGAATTCGGAGGGCTCGTAAGGCTTAAGATTTGCACGTGGAATTTACGTGAGCGTTGACCCCATAGGGATGCAGTAAGACTGCAGCTATAACAAGCACTCGATTGTCAGGCCACTTTGCGACGTTTACAAATCACTCATCATGTGCTTACTAGGCGTGACTTATCAGTTCTGCTGAATTTGTTTTTAGAGGGTTTTTCGCAATCATAGTTCCCAGCAGAAGACGATAAAAATAATCTAAGATCAATCCCAGAGCAATCCCTGATATCAACTGGCCCTACGAACTCAAAAATCATATTAAGCGCTGTTTTTCTTGGGCGCGCGCGTAATTTATTGTCAGAATCAAGAGTTAGTCTGGGCTTAGACATAGATTACGCACGCGATAATGGGTTACAATCCGCGCAAAAATCCCTGACGAAATCATGAATTAAGTCGAACTTTATTGTGGATTATGCGTAAAAAATCATGGTTTAGGTTCCGAAATCTATGATACAATCATGGATAATCCATGATTTTTACGACTGTAGGGTGGGTCTTTTGGCACATATATCAAATACCATTGTCTGAAATAATCCTGTAATCATAGAAAAAGAAATTTGAATCAAATAGTAATACGACAATTACGTAGTTTCTTATGTACTCCGAATTTGTAAAGTATATTTCCCTGAGATGACCAATGTTCAGAACAGGGCTTTGCAATAGAGCCCAGTTCTGTCTTTGTGCGTGATTCTTAGCATCGCAAATGTCACGGCCCTTATCACCCTTGCTCTTTGCAAATAATTCTGCGTCATGCTAAATGCATACCTCACCGTCCAAACTTCACCATTTTCGTTGCTATGCTTGCAATCTGGCTTGAATGTCTCGAAAATATGCATACACGCACAAAGAGAAGTTAACAAGCACATGGGTATGTATGCATATACCTGTCCAAAAGCACCGATGTGCACGTATACGTACTGTGCAAACATGAATACCAATATGCACATAACGTTACATATCCATAAACAAATGGTTCCGGGGAAAACACACGGCCGGCAAGGCTTGTATCCATGGCACAAGATATAGTGCATCAACATTGTGCAGAGATGGCACCGCTCCGCTACCAGCTCTGACCACGGTGGAGGTCACAATATCCTGCTGTCATTACATTTGGGAAACAGTTCTGGTATCAGTCCTAGCTTCATTTTGCCTGGGTCCGTAAATCAGTCCTTGAAATCAGTGCGGATACTATAGCTATAGGCAAGAATTCCAGTCCTGGGCCTAGGTTCCGGGACCTCGAGCATGTAATTTTTACGATGTTGATTCCAAGAGTGTTGCCGTTCCAATACACGCATACCATCAGTTGGTCCCGAGCAACGAGTACGGCAACAATTTATACAACCGCACCCATGCGGGTCTTGGTAAGCTGAGGGTGGGCTTATGTTGCACGTTTTCCGCGGTCACCAAACCGTAAGCATCTGTGCCCGCGATGCATGCAAGGGCAGCCGATCTCATGTGTTGAATGGGTGCTGCCGTCGTGACCTGGTCCAGGCCTCTGCGATATGGTTGGCCATGGTTTGGTATGCCTTACGGCTCGGACATCGAAGCCGCCATCAAAATCATGTCCCATAGCACATCGGACTCTGAACACGCCCCGGGCCCAGCCGGCAGACTTAGGTACGCAAAACGAAGCCATGGCACTTTTATGACCAGTCTCGTTCTACCAACCGCGTTGTTTACCGGTTGAACTCAGCTGCAGCTGCAAAACTACTTACTTAACCAGCTAGCCATACCATAGGGCGACGAAGACTAGGAACGATCCGAGAGGACCAGGCACTGCGATGCAAATTAGTTTACGTTCGTGCTGGGCCGGGGGCGAAGTCACCCTGACTGATGGGAACATCGCGACTGCCAATATTTGGCGATATCGATGCAGTTCCGGCGGAACCGCAAAGTATCGAGTTCCAAGGTAAATCCGAATCTTCCAGATTCTGACCCGTAGTTACCGAACACCGCCGTTATCGTTTCGTCGCGTATTGGATTTCTGGTGCGTAACTCAAATGCTGCTGCTGCAGTTGCCGCGCCCGTGCCGTACCGAGCGTGTAAGCGACGAGGAACCTCCGAAATAGAATTGGGTAATGGGAAACACCAGAGATCAACCACAAAACGCTGTGATCCAGCTGCCCTTTACCAAGATGACATCGTCTAAACCACTTCTACCATGTCGACTGAACGCGATCCTCTTCTTCCAAAGCTCCCTCCCATAAATGATGATGCCAACATTGACCACGCCCATGGTCTCAGCGAAGAGCAACTTCCACCCGGTGCCCAGAAGCACGAGTTCGCCACTTTGACCAAGATGTCCGTCCCCGTCATACTCGCCTACATGCTCCAGAACTCTCTTCAAACGGGTTCCGTTCTCATTGTCGGGCGCCGATCCGCACAAGATTTGGCAGTTGCGGCGTTCTCCTACATGTTCGCCATGGCTACAGCATGGCTGATCGGTTTGGGCGGCACAACGGCGTTGGATACGCTCGCAAGTCAAGCGTACGGAAGTGGTGGTGATCCTCGACGCTTAGGTATCCTCCTGCAACGAGGATTAATTGTCTTGACGGCAATGTACATCCCCATCGCGTTCCTCTGGTGGAATGTAGCACCGGTTCTTCGGTTCCTTCACCAGGAAGTCGAGCTCGCAGACGACACGCAACGATTTCTCCGGGCTTTGATCCCAGGCGGACTCGGATACATCTACTTTGAGGCCGGTAAGAAATATTTGCAAGCACAGGGGATCATGCGCGCGGGAACGTACGTTCTCCTAATCGCCTCACCACTCAATCTTTTATCAAACTATTTCTTTGTGTACACCTTGAAGCTCGGCCTTCTCGGCGCAGCATACGCGACCGGCCTGACGTACTGGCTTTCCGCCGCCCTCCTCGCTCTTTACTCCACTTTCATTCACGGTCACGAAGCGTGGGGTGGCATCTCCTCCCGTTCGATCCGTGAAGGTAAATGGGAGTTCTTCACCCTTGCCATATCCGGCGTCCTCATGGTCGGTACCGAATGGTGGGCCTTTGAGATTGTTGCTCTCGTTGCAGGATCTTTAGGTGCGGTACCTTTGGCCGCACAAAGTGTCATCATGACCACCGATCAGATCCTCAACACCGTCCCCTTTGGTCTCGGTGTTGCATCCTCCACCCGCGTCGGCAACCTTCTGGGTGCCCGCCGTGCAAAAGGCGCTGGACTCGCTGCCAATATATCAGCCTTTACGTCCGTCTTCTTCGGTGGCTTGATTATGGTCCTCATGCTCTCCGTGCGGTCCTCTTTTGGTCGACTATTCAGCGACGAACAACCCGTGATCGAGCTTGTGGCTCATGTTCTCCCATACGTGGCCGCGTTTCAAATCGCCGACGGCATAGCTGGGTCACAAGGTGGCTGCCTTCGCGGCATGGGGCGGCAGCACGTTGGTGCTGTAGTCAACAGTCTCGCATATTACGCCTTCGCCCTCCCGCTCGGGGTATGGTTGGCTTTGCGGAAAGGATACGGGCTTGAAGGTTTGTGGATGGGCCAGTGTGCGGCATTATTTACCGTGGGTGCATTGGAGTGGGTGTATGTGTACTCGACAAACTGGGAGAAGGAGGTGGACAGGGCAGCAAAGCGGTATCAAGAGGAGCACGAAGAAAGCACGAGTACCGCGGATCAGGGCACGGCCGTCAGCGAGGAGGTTTGAACGCGTGTACGACTGGCGGGGTAATTAGTAGAGATACATCGTCGTATTTAATACGCACATCGACTATATTAACAGGGAGGACATTATAATACTACATCGCCGGCACACTTCCAATCTCCGACGTCAAACATCGACGTGCGTACGTACAGAAGGCAAATCAGAAGAGCTCGTCAATTCCCGAACGAGTCGGATCAAGCCGAAGGGTCCGGCACGAATGGATCCGTGTGCCAATCGAACCCAAACTCGGGATTCTTATCCATATTCTGATCTTCAGGCTCTTCGCATGGAGTGTCGCCCTGGGTGAACCTGTAACACGTAACAACTAGGACAACGAGTTCGTATATGGATCAGGGGGAGGGAACTACTTGCCCAGAAATGATATCCTCAAGATCGAGCATGCCTGCAACGTATTTGTACCCCGAGTTCTCAATCGGGGGGATTTCGGTGAGGGTATCCATCACGGCCGACACATCACCGGCAATGGTGGTGGTCGTAGTGATTGGAGTCGAGATGGAGGACGACGGGTGGCCTAAAGGGGGAAGTCAAACTAGGATTCAAAGTTCGCACAAACTAGAATGTCATCGGAGGAGGTGCCACTTGCCAGAGTGAACGTCGCCTGTGTCATGAGCATCTCCTACACCATCCAAGCCAAAATCAAAGTCGAATTCCTTGTTACTGACGGGACTGATAGGCGTCGACTCCAGCAAACGCTGTGAACGGAGCACAGCGAGTTGATCGTTGGCGCGCTTGGCTTCGTGTTGATATTGTTCCGCGATCTGTGCGAGTTGAAGGACTGTTCGCTCGAGATTTGCAACATAGGCGTTTTTGCGATGGCGGAAGGCTGCTTGGCTACTGTAAACCGGGAATTAGTGATCTCGTCCACCAAGGTGCTCCCTTCCAGAACGCGGGGAAGAAGACGTACGCTCTGTTCCTGTCACGGCGCTCTTCCGCGGTGTGATAGATTGGCTTACGGCCTGCTTTACTCTTCTTCCTGATGGGCTGTCCAGCAGCCTCGCTAAGAGTGGGAGAAGGCATGTCTGCAAGAGTTGAAGGAGCTGGATTGTAGTACGGGGCGGACATGTTGCTTGTCAGTGATCCAACGGATCGTAGCTCGAAACCGAATGGATGATAGTATCGTCCGTTGACAGCACCTGAAGCAGTAGTTGGTGTAACACTTTGCGAGAAGACGTCTAGGTAATTTCCTTACGCGATGAAGTGGATTTCCGGTGTTCTCCTATCGGTGCTTAAGTCGTCGGGTACGTACATGGACCCCACATGAATAAACCCCGCGCAGTTTTAACACAATGCTATTTAAGTAATATACAACAGTAATATCCTTCCTCCTCCATCCTCGCCCGCTACAGTAATCCATGCCATTGATCATAGTTCTTCCTCCTTGCCCTCGTTGACAGTGAGAGGCGTCTTCACCATGATACTCAACACCTCGTACAAGCAATCAGCGGCTGCCATGGTCGTCAATTCGGCATTCGTATCATACGGCGTAGCCACCTCCACAATATCCGCTCCGACAAGCCTGAGACCGTCCAAACCCCTCAAGATCGTGCGAAGCTCTCTCGTGCTCCACCCGCCAGTCTCGGGAGTTCCGGTGGCAGGAGCGAAGGCGGGATCGATCGTGTCGATATCGATGGAGAGGTAAACCGGGTTGTTGCCGACCCTATCACGGATTTTCTTGATGATACCGTCCGTACCGATCTTGTCGATTTCGCGAGCCTCGACGATCTCAAAGCCGCAGTAGCCGTCATTCTCGTAATCTGAGGGACCGGAAAGTGTCGTGCGGATACCGGCGTGGATGTTGGTGTGGTTCGCCAACAACCCCTCTTGCGCAGCGTGCCAGAAATAGGTGCCATGGTTGATGGAAGCTGTCTTGGATTTCGAACCGCCGAACACCTTGGGCTTCCACGTATCGAGGTGCGAATCGAAGTGGATGACCGAGATAGGCCCGTACGCAGAATGGATTGATCTCAACAATGGCAACGTGATGGTGTGGTCTCCACCCAAGGTGATGATCCTTGGCAACACGCGGTCATTGAGCGACAGACCCTTCTCGTCGTATCCGTGTTTCGGAGCCCTGTGCAATAACTCCTTGTGCCCCTCCTCAATCTGCTTGATCGCGTACTCGTTATCATAACTCGTCACAGGAATATCTCCGCAATCCAAGATCTTGGCCCATGAATGAAACGGATTGACTTCCATGGGAACATTGTATCCTCCGTACAAGTTCAACCTCCTCGAACCCTGCCTAATCCCTGAGGGTCCGAAACGCGCACCAGGACGGTAAGACGTGCCCGTATCGAAGGGAGCACCGATGAATGCAATATCGTACTTGATGTCCGGGTTTCTTAGACATTGTTCGTAAGGCAAGCGTCCGAAAGTCGCAATACCGGAGAAAACAGAATCTGCCTGAGTTCCACCGTCACCGGGCAACATATCACCTTCAGTGGTCCAGTCAATCTTGACTTCCTTTTCCCATGGATACGTTTCGTCGTCGGTGGTACCTAAGGGCTGTTGGTGGAGAGCAACGTCGCCGCGGAGGGGCCGGTGAGCGGCGTCGGCGAGAAGGGCGGGAAGTCGAAGAAGACCTAAGATGAGCGTAGGAAGGTGCATGATGCTGGATCAGAGAAAGGCCTGAAGATGCGAGGAGAGTTGGGGGGCATCATAGCGCTTAAATGATACCGAATGATCTCGAGGAAAGTGGACGTCATTGCGCTCATGTCATTGCAATGATCCAATTGCAATCTCGTAACCCTCGAAGCCAGTAACAGCATCAACCCGCCTTGCAATCTCATCTCGTAATTAATTCACACTGTTTCTCCCACGTAACTTTATTCCATCTTTTGGCGATTTGGTAATTGAATTTAGAGTTTGCCGAGCTGCAGTACGCAGACACATGTCCCGAGGGCGCGCAGCTGGATTCTCGCGGACCCGGGTGAATCCAGCTGGCGATAAGCGATGGCGATGAAGTACCACAAACAACAGCTGGTGTAGATGAACGGGCAGGCAGATGAGCCGTTCGTCTCAATTCTCATTACGCGAATCGATTGACTAATGAAGTCGTCGGATCAATCGAGACAGCAGGACCGCGGCAATGGCGATATGAAGTACTTTCTCGATGAGCCACCCTCAAAACCGCAACCGCACCCCTCCCCGAATTATACCCAAAACATGTCCTTCACATCCTCCATATCGAGCATGCCTCCGCTCTCAAAAACCATGGCTTCACCGCGCGTCGTCGATGTCGCCGAACCTCACCGATCCACGCAACTCTCCTCTGATGACGCCATCCTCGCTTCCCTGGGATACAAGTCAGAACTCAAGCGCTCTTTCTCATACTTTGCAGTCTTTGGCCAGTCTTTCTCTTCTATCGGCGTGGTTCCTGCTATCGCATCCTCTCTCATCTTCGCCCTCGGCGCTGGCGGCTCCGCAGGCTTCGTCTGGTCCTATTTCGTGGGCACGCTCTTCCTCATCCCTACCGCTCTAACGATGGGTGAGCTCGGATCTGCGTATCCAACGAGTGGTGGTGTCTACTTCTGGCTCGCAAAACTCGTGCCAGACAGGATCCGTCCACTGGCGTGCTGGTTGAATGGGTATTGCAACGCGCTGGGGTATATCTGCATATTTGCAACTACTGTCTACGCTTCCGCTCAAATGGTACTCGCAATGGCAAGCATGGGGACACCTACCTACGTTCCCACCAAATACCACACGTACGCTGTATACATTGCACTCACGATCCTCGACTGCGGACTTTGCTCCTTTGCCTCGCGCACCCTCGCGCGGCTACAATACCTCTACGTCTTCCTAAACCTCGCAGTCGCCGCAGCCGTCATCATTGCTCTTCCTGTTGCTTGCCCATCGGAGCTTAGGAACACTGCTTCATACGTCTTCACCGACTTTCAGAACCTCTCCGGTTGGTCCAACGCCGGCTTCGCCTTTCTCCTCTCGCTGCTCCTCCCCACCTGGGTTTTGTCCGGCTTCGAATCATCTGCTACTTTGTCGGAAGAAAGCGGTGGCGCGGCTCTTTCCATTCCGCTTTCCATGATCTCCGCAATCGTCACGGCTGGAGTCGTCGGCTGGGCTTGCATCATCGCTATCGCGTTCACCATGGGCACTGACATCCTCTCCATCATCGGCTCACCCCTCGGGCAACCTTTCGCACAGATCCTCCTCTCCGCACTAGGTACAAAAGGTGCGATTACTCTCATGGCTTTCGTCTGGATTGTCTCGGTGACGAACTGCGCAGCGCTTTGTACCGCGGCGAGCAGAGAAATCTTTGCTTTCAGTCGCGATGGTGCGTTCCCGTTCTCAACCTACCTCCATCACCTTCACAAAGAGAGCCGCGTTCCGACTCGCTGCGTTTGGACCGTGTGTGTTGTGTCGCTCATCATCGGCCTTCTTTCCTTGGCGAACTACACCGCAATTTCTGCGATCTTCAACCTGGCAATCGTTGCGCTTTACGCATCCTACATTACGCCATTCCTCGCTCGCATCATCTGGCCCGAAAACTTTACCCCGGGACCGTGGTATATGGGACAGCGACTTTCCCTGCTGAGTGCGTATATTGGCACTGCATGGATGGGCTTCATGTTCATCATCCTGCTTTTCCCATCCTATCATAACCCCAACGCCGCAGAGATGAACTATGCCATCGTAGTCTTTGGCTTCGTCATCATGTTTGCGCTTGGATATTTCTATTTCCCCAAAATTGGAGGGAAAACGTTCTTCAAAGGCCCAGTGCGGACTGTGGAGGAGGAGAGTATCGAGGGCGTTGCGATGGAGATGGGGGAGACTGAAGGTGTCATGCCAATAAAGAAGGAGTAAACGTGGAAGTATTAGTTACATTATACCCTGGATACCGAAAGAACACCCCGAAATGACATAAGGTTCAAGCAGTGGTTACAGATGAGTGCCGTGAAAATGTAGTGGTTCATTGCGCCCTCAATTAGATATGAATGCAAGCGCTATGGCTGGGGATAAATGTACAGCAGGCCAGCTTCCGCCTGAGCAGACGCTACCAGTGGATTGGGATGAGATGGTTATGTTAAGCACTTCAAAGACCCTCTGAAAGGGAAAGTACGGCTGTGCACAGTCTTATTATTACCCTGAGCGGAAACCATGAATCTCAGGGTAGTAAGAAAAGGTGAAAGTAAAGGCAACGAGTCCCGCTGTGGACGAGTTTGGGATTCTTTGACAGGATGAGGATGTTGCCCTCATTGACCTCTACACGGCGGTACTCGCTTTACAGCCTTTATACAGAATTTGGAGGAGCTGTGAACGAGAATGTCATTTCGTCGCTCGAAGGTCCCGAAGTGCGTCGGACGGAAATCGAGATAACTCGTCCCATACACAGGGAGAAGGAGCGGAGTGAGTTGTATCACTATCACAGGGTCTCGAGATACCTGCTATTGTCATTGGGGACCGAGGCGATGAAAGGGGGCGAAGATCACAGGAGGGGGTCCTTCGAAGGTGGGTTCCCCGCGCTGGCTTGAAAAACGGACCAGTTGATCTCACCCAGAAGACGCCGCGACAGAGCGTAGACTTTTGCAGGATATAAAAGGAGGGCAGTAAAGAGTGTATGCCCAGTCTCAGACCGGTGCGGCGTTTGAGGCCGGCTCGATAAGCAGAGAACGGCTGGCGTCCCACGCGGGAGAGGAGAATGATGAAAACCACGAATGCCCGCTCTTGACCACTGAGTAAGCTTCCGAAATGTGACAGTCCACTCCAGAAATACGTAAATGTGCTCGCCACGCAAGACGGGGCATTCCAAACACTGTATGTTAAGAGATTGTACCCCGGGGGTGCCCCGCGGCGCCTCGACGACATGGTCTGAAATCGATCCGCTTACGCTGAATATTTCAGTAACTGGTTTTCTTTTTGTTAGTAATGATTTGGCGTTCGCAAACAGAATTTCACGGTCGATCATTTGTGCTACAACAATGTAGTGCGAGGCCCCCGGGGGACTAGTAGGAAAGGGAGCAGCGTAAGGGTAGCAATGTGGGGGGTGGTTGATCCATCCTAAATGTTGCGCACGACGGCCGTCCGACGGCCTATAAGCGGCCCAAAAGCGCCACCTTTGCCATCTGGATGCAGACGGACCGATCCATCCGACGATGGCCACTTGACTCTGTTGGTCATGGGGCCCCCNGCTGTTGGAGAAGAAACCGGAGATCCAAATCTGTTGGTTGTTCATCCTGAGCGTGTCGGCCTGGGCACGGGGAGCCTAAGTTATGACATTGCACACTTCCTCAGGGTAACTTGAATGCGACCGCGCGTTCACCCCCGTTT